CCCTGGATATCTTAGGTAGGCAACCACGCGGTACCGGGGACCTGTTCTATCCCCGGATATCCCATGTAGGCATCCACGTGGTACCGGGCACCTGTTCTAATCCCGGATATCCCATGTAGGCATCCACGTGGTACCGGGCACCTGTGTTTAACCTGAATCCCAACTCACATAACGAGTACGAGGACGAGGTTTCTCTTTAAATGTTTCCTTTCATTGCCAGAAACTTGTAAATGTTTCACACAGTGGCTTCCATACCCCGGACTGCATCATTCCGTGTTTCCTTGGACTAAGATACGCCGTGATTTAACGGAAATAGCAAATTGCTTTTATCGCGGTATATTCAACTCACACTTACTCACTCACTCACTCACTCACTCACTCACTCACTCTTCGTTCTCAGGAGCGGAACACTTGCGACAAGGGAGAGATACAGATCAGGAGCCGGACTGGACACGTGTCCATCTGTGTCAGCAACGAGGTGGCACATCGGAAACACATCTCCCAATTCGTACTAGAGATAACGCTGGTCATATGAAATGTTTCTGGGGAACCGACGGACGTTTTCATTACCACGCTTAAAGTTATTCTTCAAATTGACGTTTGAACCGTCATCCATTCGCCAACGCTACATTTCCTGTACGGTTCAACGAGTCTTTGTTGAGCCCTACACATAATGTGTTACATTTTGGTGCATGTATACTCATGTAAAAAGTATCGCAACATCTATGATTTCATCCCCGATATAGCAATTTGTATATTTAAATGTGCAATTTATGTGCATGACTGTTTTGACAATTGATTTTAAATATGCACGCACTACGATCCATAAAATCACGTGCAATATCCGTCTTTAAGCAAATATCAAGTTTCAGTGAAATATTCTTACAGTTCGACATTATCGGTTAGATCCTCCAGTACAAAGTTTTGATGTATTGGGGAAAGCCCGTCACCATGAATCAACGTCTGATAGAGTCAATGATGGTGGCGTCAGAGATGTTACGGCAGTAGACGGAGATTACACCAGATATTGCCATTGTGCTCGGCTATTCATACTGAACAGAATGTTAATATCACACAACCATCGTTATCGTCACTACAAAATGAGTCATTGTTTTGAAAACTTGGTTCTTCAGTTTTTCGTTCTTTTTGCGTTTAGATGTGAAATTTAATTATTTCTTGAGTGTCATTTTATCCAGATACAAAATTAATTTGAGATTTGAATATGTCCATTTGCTATTGTTGATGGTAACATATTGATACTATGAAAAATATGGGATGTTGCAATACTTTTTCCATTATTTAGAATTATCAATAGCATGTTAAAGTTGAGGACTATGAGCAATAAATGTGATGCTGACTCTTGTAGTGTTCCGAGGTATGGAAACGTTGGTATCTCATAGAGGCCTGTTACAAATGTTCTACAACCTGCAAGCTTTGTTGGCACAGGTCAGTTGTTTGCAGTTCTGGCCAACCCTGCACCAAAGCTGGGGTGGACATACTGTGGAAAATGATCCACACAGACAACATTTCAATTATAGACTGTATCGCCTACCAGACATCTTTCCACCGTGCAGCATCTACAACACGCAGAAAATCTGACATTAAAACTATTTTAGATTTTCATACGCATGATCTGATTCTTGCATTTAAAATAAAATTAGTTTTGTAATAACAAAATGGAGTATGTTGTATATAACTCACGTGCATAAAGGGCTTTTGACATGAACAATGCCTTATATATTTATTATTTATTATGGAAATACATCACGAGCAAAACGACCGCCTCCGTGGTGTAGTGGTTAGAGCGTCCGCCCGGAGAGCGGAAGGTCGTGGGTTCGATCCCCGACCGGCTCATACCAAAAGACGTTAAAATATGGTACTTGTTGGTCCCTGCCTGGCGCTCGGCATTAATGGGTACAACAAGGACTGGTCGGCTCGGAGTCAGTATAATGTGTCTGAGTGGGGTATTCCTGCTTCACTGCGGCATGGTATCTCAGTGGGCTAGCACTATAAAACCAGCTTCAGTCTGGGCTAGTACAAGCAGCCACACATACACATACACACGCATGCACGTCGTCATATCAGCGAAATATTCTCTAGCACGACGTTAAACCCAATTCCACCACCACAAGCAAAACAACATGCAATAGAAGGGTATTTGGCGACGTGGTGCCAATATGGTGATGTGTAGCTTTAAAATAGCTGGTTTTGCCGCATTCATTTGGTTTTAAACTGTTTTATAAGCAGAAACGAGCTGATGTTATATTTCCACAGATATATCGGTGATAATCCTTAAATCATAAGTGAGTGATGATTTCACTGACTCATAGTTTCTTATCACTTTTGACCCGAGAAGATCCGGGGTAGAATTGGACTTCAGCAATCCATGCTTCGGGATCGGGTAGTGAGTGAGTGAGTTTAGTTTTTCGCCGCACTCAGCAATATTCCAGCTATATGGCGGCGGTTTGTAAATAATCGATTCTGAACCAGACAATCCTGTGATCAACAGCATGAACATCGAGCTGCGCAATTGGGCGGTGATGATTTATAAACAGTGACAGCTAGAACACGTGTTTACTATAATGTCTGTTTGTAATTGAAAAAATATACGGTTTCTTTACTTGAATAACAACAAAATTGCTACCCCAGCAACCGTTGGGATGATTTTCAAATCACAATCAAAACAATAATTTTCAAAGCATTTACGTTGTGTCTACTTTCTTTTGAACGTCAGTTTATATCCACAATAATCACACGATATGTAGACCCAAGTAGTGACCTGCTTCCATTCCGTAGTATGTTGACAGAGGAATTGTACTTTGGCATGTGTCACTAATTGTGTGATCTTGGGTATAAAATCTACTAGATTGCCTTCATGGTCAGCACGATCCCACTGGTTTCATCAAAGGAGTACAAAATGTCGCTCGCTTTGACCTTCCAGTTCTCTCCTATACCAAGTGACACCCCAACCAAATACACTCACTCACTCGTTCTGTGCGGGCTACATTGTGATCAGTGCAGAGTCGCTCTTCAGATACACATCCCGTTGCTGACGAGCTAAACCGCAATAATCCGTTAAGAATCAGTCATTAATCCTTATGGTAAATTTACCTCCATTCGCCGCGCAATGACTCCCCTTCTTGTAATTCTCTTATATTAATTGTTTAATTTTCTTACTCCTCGGTGCTATTACATGCAATGTTGCTGATGTGACTGCGCGAAACGAACTCACTGAGGTTGGGTCGGCCGTCCTCACACTGCATGCATTCTAAGTAAACTTAGGCTCAGTATTTTTCGTTACACTGCTATACTGAGTCTATCAAAACCCTCGTAGAAGGTCACGTCAGCTAACCTTTTGGAATGACCAATCAGAACACAGCTTACCAAATCGCGAAAGTTAACATTCGCACATACCGTTTGAACCTTTGCCTAAAAAACGCGAACGATTCCGAATGCTATTTTTCGCCCGATCGCTTCCGAGGACGCAATGAGTAAAAAGTCGCTGAAAATAGCGTTTTTGTCAATATTCAAGGATGTCATCTTGTGGAAATATAAGCTAGTAGTAAACAGGTCAAATATCTGTGTTTATTGCGGATTTTTGTTTGTTGATAGATCAGTGTCAGCGACCAGGGAAGAGAAAATCCAAAAACCGTTTTGTAAGTCCCGCCGAACCCTAACAAGTGGTCGTTGTCTGATTGGTTAAATCCGTTCGGCCGTCCGCGTTTGATTGGACGGTCATAGGTTGCTCAAAGGTTAGCTGACGCGACCTTCTACTAGGGTTTGTTAGACTCAGTAAAGCAGTGTAACAAATAATACTGAGCTTAAGTTTACTTAGACTGACACTGCATGGAAATGCTACTGATTTGTCATGCTGGTCCCCGTCTCGCATATCGCAATATACGAGCAAGTTGGCGCGCGTAAAGGGAGCTTACTGTAAGGTTTGTAACAAGACCGTTTGCACTGAATAGCAAGCTGAGCTCTGCTTGGCCCATGTATAGTGGAGCTTAGGTATTAAACAATTAGACAGTCATGTTTAGCGCCCAGGCCTTGGGGATAGTGTTTACATACCGACAACACCTCTAAACATTTTCATTGTTTATACTTGTACACATTTTTAAAATGTATACCTAGAAAGTTTGATAGTGTTACTTCATAGTTACCTCCCCTTTCGACTTTGACTGCAGATCTATTGCCATGTGAGTGACTGAAATGGGTTCACATTGGCGCTTGGTGAAACATATCTTGTCACAGCTGCCTTGAAGTCGCAATCATTAATCTCGACATCTTATTCTAAACATATTTCAAACGTCAGCCGTAATACAAATAGTCGACAATCCGGTGATAGTGAGTGAGTGAGTTAAGTTTGCCATGCCACATCCATTGCTATTTTCATGTGGAGTATTTGTTTTTATCAGATGGCATCTCGGGTTCTGTAACTGGAAATACACCCCTACAATGCATGGCTTCGACTCGTTCCTGGGCTATTATATTGGAGCAGAAGACTACTACACTCACACCAGAGGTAGAGAAGGTTGCTGGTAACACTGCTTTAACTCATGCATGGTACAAGAAACGCAGTTGTGTGAAGGTTGGTTGGTTAGCTGGTTGGTTGGTTTGGTTGCTTGCTTGCTTTGTTGTTTAACATGGCACTCAGCAATATTCCAGCTATATGGTGGCTGACTGTACATAATCGAGTCTGACCAGACAATCCAGTTATCAACAGCATGAGCATCGACCTACGCAACTGGGATACGATGACATGTGTCAACCAAGTCAGCGAGCCTGACCACCCGATCCCGTTAGTCGGCTCTTACGACAAGCATTGGTTACTGAAGACCAATCCTGATCCGGACAGCCCGGGGGTAGACATCATGAGCACCGAACGGTGATATCATGACGGACGAGTCCATGTATGTTTGCGAGTGCCAACAGGGAGTCAAGAATGGCTCCATACTAAAGAAAACATCGGGTTGTATATAATCTTTATTCACCACAGAGTCTCTTGCTTCATGAAGTCTTACCAACATAAATTCAACATTTACATCTATCATTTCAACAAAACACCACATTGGTCGTTAACATCTTTAACTCGGACATGGGTTTGGACATTCACTGACTCCTGCTGCCACGCACCCGCCCCCCTCCACGTACTTCTTCCCTGACCCACAACAGCGGGGCTGGGACACGCCCCCCTGACACTCCCAGTAGGAGTTGCAGTACAGATGATAGGAAGTTCGTCGACCGTCCACTTGACCTCTACACGGATCTTAAAACGAACAGAAAGGTTGAATATTAGATGCAAGAATTTTACAGCAGTTCAGTAAATTTTGAATTAACACTTCAAAACGATTTAACTTCACAAAACTGTGTGGAATATGACCGAAGACGTATAACTTATGAAAAATGATTCTGGCAAAAATACGAAATAAACTATATAACAGTAAATGACCAGCCTATATCTGCACAACCCCATTGTGTCGAATTCGGGCTTACAGTTATCTCGACGTAAAAGGTTAAAGCGTATTTCTTAGATAACTTAGAACCTTGGATTACTCGAAGCATTCACGTACGTCCGTTCAACTTCGACAGAAGGGTGTTTGACTGTATGTAAATGTGGAACGATATCATATACATGTACCTCCCATATTCGGATGATATATCCTTTGTGGGCGCATTCCCTATTGTATATTGTCAAAGAAAAGAAGAAGTGTTGGGTTTTTTCTAAAACATTCAAGAGTGAAATAATATAATAATTTCAGAATATATCCCAATGATCGGACTTTCCAGAGTTAATTCTTGAGTCCTCCTTTCGCAAACATTCATTTCCTAGGTTGTTGTCAGTTCACAATAGAAGGACGTATAATTGTTTTGCGTAGTTGAGTTACAAACTGTGGTATTGGTGATCAAAAGTATTGGTCACTTCTGAAAGAAATCGATTATCTGCCCTTGTTTCAGATACTGACCACAAGTAGCGGAACCAGGGTAGTCGCAGATCTTCAGCCGGTCATTCCACATGGTTGTGTACGAGCAATCCTTGGGCACACAAACAAGGCCGGTTTGATTGACTGGAGCTACTTGTAGAAACTTGGCGCAGTTTCCAGGGTATCGAAACAAACCAGGCTCATCTACTAACGATAAAGGTCCTTCGCATGGGTCTGCGCAAACAAAAAATATTCATAGATAAACTTTTGACAGATGAAAATGACACAAAATAGATTTCTACAACGTTACGTGTGGAAGGCACGGTGGCTGAGCGGGTTTGGCGGTTGACTTTGTGTGCTGGCGATTATTTGCCTGACTCGGAGGCTGTGAGTTCGAATCCCGGATTTGACACAATCCAACAGAAGTACTAGAACGGTACTCTACTGAGAAAGTGTAATCCCAAATATAACATATGATACATTTGACCACTTTCTAAATGGCATTGTGTATTAATACGCGAGAGTATATGAATTACTGGGTTCTGATACCTTATTCAGCAATATCAATACTTCACAACAGAATAGTTGAATTTGGTCTACACAAACCGGTTACTGATATTATAATCATATCGTATAATCATTCTGAAATCATTAATGATAAACGTCAGAATTGAGTCTTAATTAAAAGCTGCTTGGAAGGTATTCCATTCATTACGGCGTGTCTGCTTCATGTGGGGGGAAAACCCGAAGTAGCGCATGTCTCAGATATTTACCACTTTGGGGAAACCAACGAAAACAGACATGGTGCTGACTAACATGAAAACAGGAGAGAACCGGGATTCGAACCCACAATCACGGGTGTCTGGCGTCCCCAGGGGACACAACTCTAGACACGAATTGCGGCGCCTTGGACAACTGGTCCAACCGTACCTCTTCGTTGTGGCATTTCTTTTAAGTATCAAGTACTTGACATTATTATCCAACACATTAACAATCCCTTGGGTATTCTGGGTTTGAACTGGTCTTGAATAGCCCACGCAGAGGCGTACGACATGGAACGATTGGTCAGGCTCGGTTACTATGGTGATTACGTCATCATCACCCGGCACCCATTTTTTTGTGTGGCCCGAATCTCTACATCCGTGATATAATAATGATGATAATGGATTTGTAAACGGTGCTCAACGGCGCTGAAATCACAATCTGATTATTATTACCCCAGATAACCCAACCTGCCGGTGAGGAGCTAGGTTAATAGTCACATGACTTATTCCACCGGGTACCCATTTTCTGCAGGGTGAACAGAGGCAATTTTGAACAAAGGTGGGACCACATGTGTCCCAGGTGCTCTGAGGTCCTAGAAACACTCAGGAGTCAACCTGCCAAACATGGTCACCCATCCAAGGACTCTCCGCGCTAAACGAAGCTTAACTTCAACTGAATTGTGACCTGAGATCGATGCTCAGGACCACACGACCACTACACATCATCACAATTGGGCTTTCGCATTGCTAACGGCGCCATAACATAGCATGCCTTCAAACAAACATAAAATTACCTTGGCAAATGATCTCGGTGACGTTGGGTGTCAGAGCCGATAGTCCCGTGTCGTTCGTGACCTTGAAAATACGGTCACTGCTTTTTGAGTACAACATCAACTCCTGCAAGGAAATGGCGTCGCCAAAAGCAACAGACGTTATCTCAATCCCAGCTTCTTGGCATCGCTGAGCATAATCCCCTGCAAGATTAGAATTGAAGGTCGACCCGTCGGTAACAAGGACAACCAGATGCCTCGCCCCAAGGCGTCCTGAGGATTGAAACATGCCCTTAACTAACTTCATCCCCTCGAGGATGTCAGACCCCTTGAATTCTGGCTGGAAAGTGTTGAAGGCGTTGGAAATGGTGGAGGAGTTGGACGTGAAGTCGGCGATGACGCGCGTCGTTTTGCTGTAGGCAACTACAGCGATGCGGATGTTGGAGAGGTCAGCCTTGTCGACGAAGTGTTGGACGAAGGAGGTGACGCCCTGCGCGTACGTCACGGTGTCAGAGTCAGTAGGGTTGTTGCGTTTGGTGCTGTCGGAGTCGTCTATGAGGAAGATGATGTCGGAGAAGCCACCGCACGCTGAAGAGAGAGTTATCAAGTTATCATTCTTTCTTAGATTAAATACGAGAGTCATTGGGTATGGTTTTACGTCGCTTTTGGCATTATTCCAGCAATATCACGGCAGGAGGCACTGGAAAAGGGCTTCACACATAATATCCAAGGGGGGGTCGAACCCGGGTCTTCGGCGTGACGAGTGAACGCTTTAACCACTAGGGTACCCCACCGCCACTATATATAACAACATTATCACGTCGATAGGCACGAACATTTGATTTATTAAACCAATGAGGGGAATCGAACATGAGATGTAGGTACGACATGCTGCATAATCACACAAGTAATAGGTCTTGTCTTGTTTTGTTTGGGTTTTTTTAACGCCGCACTCAGCAATATTCCAGCTAGGTGACGACGGTCTGTCAATAATCGAGTCTGATAATTCAGTGATTGACATCATGGCCATCGATCTACCCAACTAGGACACGATTACATGCATCAATCAAGTTAGCAAGCCTGACTACCCGATCCCGAAGCATGAATTTCTGAAGACCAATTCTACCCCGGATCTTCACCAGCCAAAAGTGATAAGAAACTGTAAGTCAGTGAACGAAAACGGTTTACGCCTCTTAGTGCTGTTATCGTATTCGGTTGAAAGTGGGTCTGCTTAATTTGGGAAGAAAGCCGGGAGCCTCATACATGTACCACTTTGATGAAACCCGTGAGTACGGGAATGATAGAATGATAGGTGATGATTTTAAGAGGGGGTGGTAACCCAGTTTGTTCTGGGGAGGTAGGAGGTCATCAATTTTGTACATAAAAATCTTTTAAAATTATGCATAAAAAATGTGGAAAGGGGGGATGTTGTACATGACATGCAAGGGGGTCATTAATTTGTACATAAATTTTAGGGGTTGGGGGGATGGGGGTCAGTCACATTGTACATGCTTCTTATAAAAATCATCATCACCTCCCCAGCCATAAATTATGCACGGTCCCTTACAGTATGAAACATTTTGGAGCTTAATGTTGTTTAAACACCGAGGCAATATGTATCTCGTGTTTTCAGCACAGGAATTTCATACTTACTTTGAGAGAAGGTGACTTTTGCTGACATCACAAGTAGAAAGCCGAACACCACCCATATACGCAGCATGCTTGAAATCTGTCAACAAAAGAACATCCCTAAGTTTAACATCCCATACAGATTATACAATTGGTCAGCAATGCTGGTGCTTCTATTTGGCTCAGTTTTACCAGAACTGAAAATCACAAAGTATCTCCAACCCTGTGTGTTGTTTGCTAAGCCAATGGACGTTTTCATCGTGTTGTATTGTTTCAATTTACCATGCATAATATTACTCACTCTCGGAGCAGTCTCAGACTCATTGTCATATTTATACACATTGTCATATTTATACACATTGTCATATTTATATACATTGTCATATTTATACACATTGTCATATTTATACACATTGTCATATTTATACACAAGTGTGCTAAGGTGAATGTTTTGGTTTTTTAAAGTTGACACATTTGAAGATCCTTCATTTACGAATCCCTGTAACGATTTCCAACGTGCGAGACGTGGTCTTCTCCTACAAAGGTCAAGGTCATGGTTCACTGACGCTGGTAAGAAGTCGGTGTCAAAGAAAGATTGTTTTCCGTAATTTGTTATTAGCATGGTGACCTTGAGGCTTGAAGCCTACATACATTCTCTATCTATTCAATCCATATTATATATGATACATATTTGTGAATATTGTGGAATATTAAACAAAGTTAGCAGAGTGTGTGGTCCACAGCATACGTCTATATACTCGTGTGTTCGGGAAGATGTCAGCCCCACACCTATGATTGTTCCATTTTCGTGGAAGCCGCGGTGGCTGAGCATGTTACATGGCTGACTTTGTGTGCTGGCGATTAAGTGCCTGACTCTAAGAGTTTGGGTTCGAATCCTTGATGGAACACAACTCAACAAAAGTACTAGAATCTGTACTTTACGGAAAAAAAGGTGTAGTCCCAAATATCACATATCTAACTATATATAAGGCTTGCTTACCTGGGTAGCGTTCTGCACGACCCTCCCGTCTCGGCGTGGATGCAGGTTTGACCACGGACGATTGACCCACAGTGGTCATTCTGTTAATTAACCCCAGGATATGCCGTTATCAGGTCATAACCACAGGTACACTGCATCAGAGATGATGCTGATCTGCTGATAATATGTATTAGTTTAATCTGTCGCTGAGATAATCCCGTCACACCTTATCTGTGCCGGAGGGTTTCGTTACCATCGAGTGGTCTTCACCGAGATGTACTGTACTGCTGTAATACGAGTATGTGCTCTTTTGTTTGGACTTTGTCGTGTTAAACTTTTATTACTATTGATTAATGAACGAATATGTATATACACATATTGGCGTTGCTGATAATCGGTTGTGAAAAGTATACGTATATTGTTTCTGTTACAACATATAGACTAGGAGTAAAATATCCGGAGCATCAGGAATATTACATCGTATTCTGACCCAGTGAATTAAAGCAAGTTCTAGAACTGAAATGCCTGGAGGTTTTTGTAAGCGTCAGTGTGGGAGGGACTGTTTAATGGCGAGGTAGCGGACAATGATATAATTTGGCGATATATTCATTTACCATAACGTTGTTTAAAAAATAATACTCAACTTTTCGAGCCAGATTTATTGTTCGCAAACATAATTTAACTCAAAGATTACAGAATTGGTTGTATGACTTCCTATTTTAAACAAATAAATTTTAATCGTTAATCAGAGGTGAGGTTTAGTGATTGGTGTTCACTTTATGCTCAGCATTTTGCGCCTCTCTTTTGAGTGAGAGAGTGAATTTATTTTGCGCCTCTTTTAGCAATATTCCAGTAAATATGCCGGCGGGGACACAACAAATGGGCTTCACACATTGTACCCATGTTGAGAATCGAACCCGGGTCTTCGGCGTGACGAGCGAACGCTTTAACCACTAGGCTACCTGGCCGCCCCACATCTTTTGATGTACATAGAGGAGCTGAACAAGATCACTTGCTGATTGAACAGCAGCCTTGCAACCCAACAGGGACTGTTTGAATAGAAGCCTTGCAACTCAACAGGGGTTGTTTCAATAGAAGCTTTGCACCAGGAACTTTTTTAATGTATGTCTTGTAACCCAACAAGGACTGTTTGATAAGAAGCCTTGTACTCAATTGTTTGAGTATATAAAAACCCACAGACATTGTTGGAATAAAAGTTAAACAACCACACACGCATTGTATGAACACAATGTTGAACAGACACTCAGGTTGAATTAGAACATATCGTAAACATCTCACACACTTTTCTTCATACAATACTGTTGAAGTACACAAAACCGGTGTGAACAACTGTCACACACTCTCACAAACTGTTTGACAAAACGGCACACAGCCTTACCACACCTCTATGAATACAGTGTCGATTTGATAACAAGCAATGTTTGAATTAAATTTCAAACAACCACAAATACATTATTTGGAAACATTATGAACACAACTACACAAACACTGTGTAATTGTGTTGAACAAACATCCAAGTCATGTTGGAATAAATGCTGAACAACCACACAATTAGTATTTGAATAAATGCTGAACAACCACACAATCAGTATTTGAATAAATGCTGAACAACCACACAATCAGTATTTGAATAAATGCTGAACAACCACACAATCAGTATTTGAATAAATGCTGAACAACCACACAATCAGTATTTGAATAAATGCTGAACAACCACACAATCAGTATTTGAATATATGCTGAACAACCACACAATCAGTATTTGAATAAATGTTTAACAACCGACCACGCACTGTTTGTATAAATGCTGAACACCGACGTTAATTGGACAACCACACACGCACTGTTTATATGAATTGTTAACACTGGGATTCCGTACGAAGACTAAATGTTCTTTCTTCAAGTATTCATTTTTAAATGAAAACTATACACCTAAATTATAGATACACTGACTTTTAAAAAACGCCTCACTACAATAACTTTAAGTGGCAGGCAATTTCTTTCTTTTTCAAACATTTTGCACCACAGTTTATGTTTTTCTATAGCATGCTATTGCACTATTGTACTTATTTACTACTAGCTACTTTACATATTTTCTTGCGACAGATTGTACAGCTTGTAGGGTTGCTGCCCGACTCCCCATTCACTTCATGGTGTAGGGTATCAGGAAGATCAGGCCACACGTCCCATCCAATGTTTTACTTTATTATTTGTAAAGAAATAACATTCCAGGATCCTGTCCATGAATATAAAAACTTACAAGAATACGGGTTCCTTGTTTCTGTGGTACTACGACACCTGAATTCGTGACGTGGTCAATGAAGATAAGCCTTCTCCATGGGCCCCGCCCTCCAAGGTAAACACATACATACAATGGCGGTTTACAGCACCCGGAGGTACACTAGCGTTTCTTCAAACAACATAATGGCCGCGTATGACACCATGTTTGTTTCTTCATCGTGATGTCGACTTTCTCCGTCTTCTTTAACCGAGATGTGACGCCATCCCGTAAAGGACCCTAACCCGATTTTATCCCACGTCGCGAAACATTTACCTGTCAGGTAGATGCAACAATTGAAGTGACGAGAACGCGTGATGGAGGCATCCGTTTAGATATTTACTAATGAACAATGGGGCTTTGATCATGGTTGTTGTCTAAACAACCGTGTTTGAAGTTGAATATATATTTTTGAGACATTCCCAGAGTAAAATTATAGTTAAAACCCCAACTTATTGCCTTTTGAAGAAATGAATATTATTTGTAATATTAATATTATATTATACTTCTGTTGTCATTAAACAAATGGTGTATCAAAGCCGAAACAGTTCTAAATCCTTTTAGCTTCTATGTTCATTGAGTGAGTGAGATCGCTTTAAAGCACTTTCAACAATATAACAGCAACATAACGGTGTGTCAGCATGATGTGGGAGTGAGTGAGTGAGTGAAGTCGGTTTTACGCCGCTTTTAGCAATATTTCAGCAATATCACGGCGGGGTACACCAGAAATGGGCTTCACACATTATTTCATGATATGGAATGAAAGCCCATTGAAGTAAGATACAGCATATAGTTTTTAAGTTTCCTGTTTCCTAATATAAACTAATTCGATATTCGACACTCACGAGCACGTGTTGATAAACAAAGTTATGCACCAAGTTACTAAACTTCAATAAACTTTTTGTATCTTTTGACCTTTCGTTTTCAGCGAGTACTGTTGGTAATTTCACAACATCCAAAGCGTTTGTTTGTGGAAAGCGTAAATGCGTTAAAGCATGATCGAATTAGTTTAAATTCACTGTAGATTGACAGTGATAATGTGTACAGTTTTACAGAATAACAAATAATTTTGATGTGCTGTATAGTTCAATTACGTTTATGATGTAACGGAGATTTAACATGATGACATGCTGTACGACACAATTACGTGAATACCGTAACAAAGATTCGGTTTAAATCTGTTGCACAACTTATTTATGTGAATACTGTAACAAAGATTCAGTTTAAATCTGTTGCACAACTTATTTATGTGAATACTGAAACAAAGATTCCGTTTAAATCGGTAAATCTGTTGCACAATTTATTTATGTGAATACTGAAACAAAGATTCAGTTTAAATCTGTTGCACAACTTATTCATGTGAATACTGAAACAAAGATTCAGTTTAAATCTGTTGCACAACTTATTTATGTGAATACTGAAACAAAGATTCCGTTTAAATCGGTAAATCTGCACAACTTATTTATGTGAATACTGTAACAAAGATTCAGTTTAAATCTGTTGCACAACATATTCATGTGAATACTGAAACAAAGATTCAGTTTAAATCTGTTGCACAACTTATTTATGTGAATACTGAAACAAAGATTCCGTTTAAATCGGTAAATCTGTTGCACAACTTATTTATGTGAATACTGTAACATAAACCTACACAGATAATGTGTTGCATATCTTACTCTTACTTTGTTACAAATTGTCCTTACTGGCACGTTGATGTTACATTATGTTACAAATTATTATTGTTGTTGTTACATCTTTAAACACTGTTCGTACTGTGACGGTATTGTTGCGCACTGTTACAAATTGTTCATATCGTTTTTATTGTTCCGTTTTTGTTCACGCTGTCCTGAAAGAGATGCTATGTGAAAATATTATGAAACAAACAAAATGTCTTGAGAAAAAAAATCTGTGAAATGTCCATAAAATAAGTTCAGAAAGGTTTAAGAAGGATTACTATACCGCCTATATCATTCTACAGTACTTAAAGACATTATTTAAATCCATTAACAATTTCGTACTGATTGCTATTTATTGCAGGCTACTTTGAATGCGTAGTCTAAAGCAGCATTGGCATCACAGACCCGGAGATCTACAGTTCGAAGTGACAGAACCCTTCTTCCACAACGATGAGTGCCAACTCCATCGTAAGTTCTGTTTTATAGTCCCCTATAAATAGATCCTAGAAACCCCCCTCTACAGCTTGGTCTATCTCGTGTTGACAAAGCTGGATGACAATCATTGTGCTAAAAAATGTGATGGAAAAGACCCTTGTCAATGAAAACAGGGCGTGAGGCAAATATTATCTCTTTGATTGTAGCTGCAGTGCTAACCTATGTCCTTTGCACATTATACAAACATACTCCCCGAAAATGGGCGCGGCACGGACACAATATAGTACTTGCCTCACGCCCTTCGTTCACTTTATACCCGCATCAGCCGGCCGGCACCCATCGCTACCCCACAATAGACACCGAGGAGGTAAGATAAGGTATAGCCTTCTTTTCAGCTAAACACAGTACTAATAACATATTCTATTTGATGTATTATAATATCAAATATTTTATTTGATTGGTTTTAATTGGTATTCCCCGTATGTAAAGAGCAGTTCTTCCGTGATTTTTCAACAGAGTTTATAAAACTGGAAATCAATGCTACAAAACTCTTTGTACAGCATAACAAATATTTCATCCATTGTCAGTTGTACGAGTCCGATTTAAAGGAATGTGTTTATAACAGAAATCACAACGTTACATTGTCGGGGTAAGATATAAAGATATGAAACAGTATTCAAAGCGTGCCTGACTCTGACAGTGTTGGTTCGAATCCGAGGTGGGACTCAACCCCCGAAGTAGGCCTACTAGAATCAGTTCTTTACGAAGAAAGTGTAATCCCAAATATAACATATGTTACATTTCATCACTTTCTAAACGGCATTGTGTATTTATAGTGTACAGAGCATTTGATTTTCTCATAATATATACACGTCAATATAAAACGATATGACCACGACTACTGCCAACAGTGACCGAAATGTTGAACAGCCGTTTGCCGGATGTTGTAGCTAGATGTCTCGGATGTTGTAGCTAGATATCTCGGATGTTGTAGCTAGATATCTCGGATGTTGTAGCTAGATGTCTCGGATGTTGTAGCTAGATATCTCGGATGTTGTAGCTAGATATCTCGGATGTTGTAGCTAGATGTCTCGGATGTTGTAGCTAGATATCTCGGATGTAGTAGCTAGATATCTCGGATGTTGTAGCTAGATATCTCGGATGTTGTAGCTAGATATCTCGGATGTTGTAGCTAGATGTCTCGGATGTTGTAGCTAGATGTCTCGGATGTTGTAGCTAGATGTCCCGGATGTTGTAGCTAGATGTCTCGGATGTTGTAGCTAGATGTCCCGGATGTTGTAGCTAGATGTCCCGGATGTAGTAGCTAGATGTCCCGGATGTTGTAGCTAGATGTCTCGGATGTTGTAGCTAGATGTCTCGGATGTTGTAGCTAGATATCTCGGATGTTGTAGCTAGATGTCTCGGATGTTGTAGCTAGATATCTCGGATGTTGTAGCTAGATATCTCGGATGTAGTAGCTAGATGTCTCGGATGTTGTAGCTAGATATCTCGGATGTTGTAGCTAGATGTCTCGGATGTTGTAGCTAGATATCTCGGATGTTGTAGCTAGATGTCTCGGATGTTGTAGCTAGATGTCCCGGATGTTGTAGCTAGATGTCCCGGATGTTGTAGCTAGATGTCCCGGATGTAGTAGCTAGATGTCCCGGATGATGTAGCTAGATATCTCGGATGTTGTAGCTAGATGTCTCGGATGTTGTAGCTAGATGTCCCGGATGTTGTAGCTAGATGTCTCGGATGTTGTAGCTAGATGTCCCTGATGTTGTAGCTAAGTGTCTCAGTTTTGTCTTCAAGAACATAGTCCATTACTATCTTATTGACAATCTCCGAGTGTATCATCTCATCATTTTCAACCTCTTCTTAGTTGTTCAAATGATCAGTACAGAATGTACAAATATAGAACAGAATATTTCAATTTTAAACAGAACAGCAAAACAAAAGCAGTTATACTTACAGAACATAATGCCAGCAGTCACAGACAAAAGCCAGTAATGAACAATACTTAAGCATATCTTAGAAAATGACTATCTATTTGTCCATTTCTTTAAGACAATAAAGGCGTTCCCCTACTTGAGAACTGCTAATGGGGTTACGGTACCAGGCCGTGTTTTATCAACATAACGTCCACTAATGTATGGTGTTTTGCATATATAGGTTGTTTACCCTAGCTGGCGAATTTATGCAGATATGTGCCCCTTGACTGACCCAATACTGCGGGGGATACCGTACCATGCAAAAATAATATACACACATACCGACGTTAGCCGACCTACAGGAGAGAGTGGTACAGGCCTATCTTCTATGTATCGGGGATAGACAACATCATTTTGCTCGTAAGAAATGTAAACCTGCAACATATGAAGTGGACGCCTGGACGAGCTCAGGACAATGATAGCGTTTGGGGGACTGTATCGTCAGTTTTACATGGAGATGAATATCCAGGAATATGTAAATCTGAACTTTCCTCTCACTTCAGATTTGAAGTTTAACTGAAATACTGTTCAAGACATAAGCTCACTTACTCACAAACCCATTTTCCCAAACCGGAATGCTTTCTGATCCGATTGACAAAGACTGACAATGTCGCCCAAGAACGTTTCAACAGTATGTGTTTTTAGATTCTATGTTTATAAATCATGTGAGACATGTAACAACAGACAATTTTAAATTAGTCAGCTACTCTATTTACTACTAATACAACCACATATCAGACACTCGGTAGCCTTATCTTATCCCAAATGACAGATCTGGCATTCGCATCTCAACGGATTTGGGTCATAAACCGATGAAGTTCCTAACCCAAATCATTGTAACTCGCTTTCTGTAACCGCAGCCATGGTTGCAGCTGAGATACTAGTAACGCTGGTAACAATCGCAGTACCAATACTGCGAATGCTGCTGCAGCTGTTACCACCATTACCATTACCATCCACGTTGCCATGACAACCGCTGTGTATGTTTCAGGTTTCACGATGGGCACCAGCCTGTTTATCTTCATCACTACATCTCTAGCCCTGTGTCACGGTAGGCGGCGGCTGTACTCGCTATAACATTATCCATTACATATATATGCTACACTATATACATCAAGTAGTGGTGTTCCGATTAATTGAAATAATCGAAGATTGGTCGCAGTGACCAAACGACCAAGCAATCGATCACATTTTCTCATAATCGAACATAAACAATTTTGGAACTACTGTTTTAGTGTTTGAAATACTTGACGATGGAACATATCAACATAGTTGTCAGGTCCTGAAAACATGTTTAATTCTTGGAAAAGTCACTTTACTAACTGAAAAGCCATGACTGAATATTTCTCTAAGACTCCAGGAAGTTTATGTTCATGATATATTAGTCATCACTTTAAAGTAGCAAGTTGCATCATGTTATACTTTTCTGCAATAACAACCTGGATAGGAAAATCTGTAAGATGACGCTAACCAATTTTTTTCGATGATTGTTCGTTGGTAATGAAGCAATCATCAATTGTGAGATTTCAACCAATTCCCAACACTAATATCAAGTACATGCTAAGCCACGTGCCACTAGTGCAATACTTTGTTGATGTATCCCGCTCTGTGATTGGATCATTGTTTTCATTCACGTCGACCGTGAACATCCGGGTTAGAACTGGTCTTCAGCAAACCATGCTTGTCGTAAGAGACGGCTAACGGAATCGGGTGGTCAGCCTCGCTGACTTGGTTGGCAAATGTCATCGTATCCTAAATGCGTACATCGATGTTGATGCTGTTGATCATTGGGTTGTCTGGTCCAGATTGTTTACAGACCAAGGTCATGTAGCTGAAATATTGCTGACTGCGGTGATGAACAACAAATAAGCAAACAAATATATTTGAGGTATTTTCTGAAGCTACACCATCCCTTCAACTCCATCGTTTCCTTGGTGGAACAATGGTCAGTGGTCTAACCGACCCCCATTCTTGGTGCAGTTGCGTCCCTTAGGCAGAGCTAGACCCGGTTGTCGGGGTTCGAATCCTTGATTTGGCCGGTTGACTTACCTTGATCTGTTATTGCCATACCCTTGCTTGCTGGTTTGTGTGGCCTGCGTAAATTTTTCTCGCACCCAAATCTGACTTGACGTGTTGTAACAGAAATAATGTCTCGATGGGACTTCTTCACTGAACGTGCCAATTTAACGACAACATTTACCATCAACTATCGTGCTATTTTTCATATAAAAATCTTAATCGCACGGGTCTTTAATCCTCCTATTCATTGAATTTATACATATATTATCACCCCCAGTAATGGACGCGCATCCCTTTGCCTGAGGAGAGATTTAAATGAATCTATCTTATCAATATTAATATTTTGTTGGAACCGATACTGATTTAGCTGAAGCGGAAGATACAGCATCGCGCAGCAATGCAGCATTGGGGCCACGGTTTCATTCAAACCGCGTCTCATTCTCAACATTGCTAAAAGCGACGTAAACCTTCACCCACTCACTCACTCACTCATTCCATCAAACGTTGTGGAATCATCACTATTTTAGTATTTTATTTTCAGGGTTAAATATCCTCGACAGCTGTTTGGACGAGCCGACCGGCTGTCCCGTTAACGCCGTGTGTAAGAAGTTTGGCTGCCGTAACGAAGTGTGTATCTGTAACGTGGGGTACAAACCCAGCCCGGGGGGCGATCAGTGTCTCAGAGGTAACAACACAAACATATCGATTTCATTTGGCTGTATTATTTCGCCTATTGTTTAGAGGTTACCTTTTGTTTTTGTTAAGTAATAGTCTTCTTAAATAATACACTGTTCATCGGCTTGCCTTGGGTAGACTAGTAGTTAAAGTGTTCGCTCAATTCGCCATATTGGTACAATGTATGGAGTCAGTTTCCTTTGTCCAGTCATGAAAATCCTGGAATCTTGCAAAGGCAGCGAATTACCAAAAATCAATTACCCAGAAACCAGAATCCCCAATTTCTAGAATTTCTCGAGGAGCATCCTTGGTTTGGCAACATCTCTCTGCAATGATGTTCAGTTAAAACCATTGTTTCGATGTTGGAGGACCAACATAAATACTTCGACACAACTTCAAATTGATGGGTAAATAAGGAATCCACAGGGATTCGAGAAAACCGTAAGCTCGACACATTACAGTGCGACACGACGGTGTGTGGTTGGATCGCCCTGAGCCAGGTCACTTCATGAATGGGTATTATACCTGGGTCCGACTCAAATTCTGCAGTACATAAAACGTTTATGCCAAATCAAAGAAAAGTATTTCGCCAAAGAAAACATTCCTCTGCAAGTCTCAATAGTGACTGAACAGATACACACTTAATCTTCCGACCATTCATAATAATGTATAGTTACATGTTAGTTTGGAGTACGAATCTGTGATACTTGCAGTTGCTTTACACAAAAGGCTAGCTGTACCAGACTGGAAGCATAATTTCAAGTTTTGGAAAAACACTTGAACTAACCACACAATTATCGAATTTACAAAAATATAACCACTTATATTTATAGCCACCTTTTGCAATAACATGACATTTCGATTGAAAACAATTACGTTATGTTACATATGTGGCTCCATTAAGTTGTTGTTACTGCCTAAAGGGGACGGTTTTCATATAGTGAGTTATTTATTGTAAATGTACATAAGGCCCTTGTCAAAATATAGTCTGACTACTGTCGATCTGACGTTAACGCTCAACTTGCTCCGTCTGACCTTCAGTCAGAAATCTCGGAGACCCCTGCGGTGACGTCGACAGCGTCTGTGCTGCCGGCTCCTGCGTCAGCAACACCTGTACTTGTGACATTGGAACGTACGCCTCCGTCAGCGGGACCCGCTGCAAGCCGGAACCCCTGGCCGGGAGACTCTACTCTGTTTTGGGTGAAACCTGCAACGGCGTGGACATTGTCTGCCTCGACGCTTTGTTCCAGGAATGTGGCGCTCAACAGCAGTGTGTGTGTCGTGCGGGGAACAAGGTCACCACTTACGACATCCTCGCTGCGCTGCCCTCCGCAGGGGAATGTGTTCCTGACAACCTAGAAATAGGTAAGCTGTAACAATAATCCAAACATCAAATTAACTTTGAAACCATAAATGGTATTCTATAACTCGGGGGCCTTGTCGTATAAGGTGTAGCAACTCTATCTGCAGAGCTGCGTCTTAGGTACGCAAGAACCCTTGGTCTGGGTTCGAATCCCGGTTCGCCCTAATTACGTTTCTAGATTTGTCAGCCCCATGGTCGTGGTCAAAGTCGTAAACATCAGAGACTTGCATCACTTCGAGATTCCATGTCACATGAAGCTGACCCGCCATGGGACCGCCTCCGTGGTGTAGTGGTTAGAGCGTCCGCCCGGAGAGGGTAAGGTCGCGGGTTCGATCCCCGACCGCGTCATACCAAAAGACGTTAAAATATGGTACTTGATGGTCCTTGCCTGGCGCTTGGCATTGATGGGTACAATACGGACAGGTCGGCTCGGAGTCAGTATAATGTGTCTGAGTGGGGTATTCATGCTACACTGCGGCATGGTATCTGTGAGCTAGCACTATAAAACCAGTTTAAGTCTGGGCTAGTACAAGCAGCCACACATACACACACATGCACGTCGTGATATGAACGAAAATTCCTAAGTGCGACGTTAAACCCTATTTCACCTCACCTCACCTCACCTCACCTGACACGCCGTGATGTAACTGGAACACAGTTCGAAGCGGCATTAAACACAACACACTCACTCACCCTCCCGTGGTAGTCAGTCATGCTCGGCGGCCTGAAAGTCATTGATTGAGTTTGTGTGATTGATAGAATGAATACACAGCTGGGTGTGGTGGTAGGGAAGCAGGTAGATAGTTTATTACATCGTTAGTCGGCTGTTGAGACGGATATGACACAAAGAGCGCATATCATTCATCCCTTTCTGAAAGACCGCCTCCGTGGTGTAGTGGTTAGAGCGTCCGCCCGGAGAACGAAAGGTCGCGGGTTCGATCCCCGACTGCGTCATACCAAAAGACGTTAAAATGTGGTACTTGTTGGTCCCTGCCTGGCGCTCGGCAATAATGGGTACAACAAGGACTGGTCGGCTCGGAGTCAGTATAATGTGTCTGAGTGGAGTATTCATGCTTCACTGCGGCATGGTATCTCAGTGGGCTAGCACTATAAAAACAGCTTCAGTCTGGGCTAGTACAAGCAGCCGCACAGACACATACACACGCATGCACGTCGTCATATGAGCGAAATATTCTCAAGCACGACGTTAAACCCAATCTCACCTCACCTCACCCTCTCTGAAAAGGTACCTGATATGTCATGGATATCTGCTTTGATCTTGTAACAATATCAGGATTTAAAAAGAGTGAGATCTGTTTTTCTTTTGGTTGGTGATGCTTTATTTTCCGTGACCGCTTCTGTGGGAGGTGTAGAGAACTGAGCGTCTGACCTGAGAACGGAAGATCAGCTGTTCCTCCCCCTTTCCAGTCTGAAATTGTTTCAATGTCGGCACGTCCACAGCTAGCATCGTGTAAGAGTGGGTGAAAATGCTAGATGTATGCAATGCGTTGGACAGGACATTGACATGCTACGCTTGACATGTTCCAGGAATAAGCATCGACGACGCCAACTGTGCGGAAACACCACAAAGAGGTACAATACAACGCCTACATCTTGATCCATGCATTGTATTGGACAGCATTTCTCTGTAAAGTCAACAGTATTTGGAATAATTCTTTGAAAAACTGGTAATTGACATCAGTAGAACAACCTCTCAGCGTTAAACATTCATTAATTCAAAATTAACAAGAGGTAAATCCACACAAATGTCTCTTGTATGATGAATCGTCACATTTTGTGCGTTAAATGATTAAACATGATAGCTCCTTTCAAAAACATATTTGGGACTTTTTCAGCGAATGTTTTGGTGGGCGACACGTGCTTGTTGGACACCGAGTGTACAGGCAATGCAACGTGTGAAACGGTTGGTTGTGGGAAGAAATGCACGTGTCCCCCAAACACGTCCGCAACGTTAGACAAGACAGCGTGTAAGGATGGTACGTAGACCTGAGCGTGTAAAGATGGTACGTAGACAGCGCACGTGGACAGCGTGTAAACATTGTACGTAGACAGCGTGTAAAGATGGTACGTGGACAGCGTGTAAACATTGTACGTAGACAGCATGTAAAGATGGTACGTAGACGGCGTGTAAGTAGACAGCGTGTAAAGATGGTACGTAGACAGCATGTAAAGATGGTACGTAGACAGTGTACGTAGACAGCATGTAAAGATGGTATGTAGACAGCGTGTAAAGATGTTACGTAGACAGCGTACGTAGACAGCATGTACAGATGGTACGTACACTGTGTAAATAGCAACGAGTACACATGTATCCTTATTAATATTTGGAAAATACGATTAATAACTATCTCCTTATTTCGCAGTACGTTATTTGGGAGACGACTGCGACTCTGGAGCCACGGTGTGCGCCACCCTTCACAGCATCTGCTACAACAACAAGTGCGCCTGCGAAGGCGGGTACGAGGACACTGGGACGGGGCTTTGTAGGGAGGAGTCCATGGCCCCCGGCTGTACCTATACGCCACTATCAACGAGACCTGTGGGGGCATCACGGAGTGCGAGGGGAGACTGGTTTGTAGTACGGAGAGCAAGTGTGAGTGCAAGACCAACTACAGAGAAGCCAGCACGGACGAGCGTCTGCAGTACAGTCTCAATACTTACTGCATCCACAGTTCATTTCAAGTCAGTAAGTACTCATTGCTGTGGCCATCTATCAATACCTATTTATATAAACCTCAGCGGCACGTTACATATTGGACCTTGTTTCAGGTTTTACCGACGAAGAGTTCGATGATATATGTGTACAGAAGCCGCTGGCACCATCAAGTTCTGTGGCTCCATCCACTTCTGCAGTACCATCTAGTTCTGGACTGCCGTCCAGTTCTGTAGCTCCATCAAGTTCTTCAGCTATGTCAAGTTCTGCAGTTCCGTCAAGTTCTGTGGCTGCATTAAGTTCTGCTGCCCCATCCAGTTCTGTGGCGCCGTTAAATTCTGTGGCTCCATCAAGTTCTGTGGCTCCATCAAGTTCTGCAGCTCCTTCAAGTTCTGCGGCTCCATCAAGTTCTGCGGCTCCATCAAGTTCTGCAGCTCCATCAAGTTCTGCAGCTCCGTCAAGTTCTGCAGCACCATCAAGTTCTGCAGCTCCATCAAGTTCTGCAGCGCCATCAAGTTCTGCAGCACCATCAAGTTCTGCAGCTCCATCAAGTTCCAGTTCCATCAAGTTCTGCAGCTCCGTCAAGTTCTGCAGCTCCATCAAGTTCTGCAGCTCCATCAAGTTCTGCAGCTCCGTCAAGTTCTGCAGCTCCATCAAGTTCTGCAGCTCCGTCAAGTTCTGCGGCTCCATCAAGTTCTGCAGCTCCGTCAAGTTCTGCGGCTCCATCAAGTTCTGCAGCACCATCTAGTTCTGCAGCTCTGTCAAGTTCTGTGGCTCCATCAAGTTCTGCAGCTCCATTAAATTCTGCAGCCCCGTCAAGTTCTGCAGCACCATCTAGTTCTGTAGCTCTATCAAGTTCTGCAGCTCCATCCAGTTCCCCGGCTCCTTCAAGCTCAGTGGCTCCTCTGATCGATGCTTCTTCCTCTATTGCCCCTTCGCAAACGGAAGCCAGTTCCTCTCCAATCATGTCTCAGACCGAGGCTCTGACCTCTACTCCCGTGGCCAGTGTCAGCGTTAGCTCGTCAGCTGACATACAACCATCATCTACAGCACAGCCGGGAATGAGTAGCTCCGTCACTACACCGGGTACGTATTCAACTTGCATCCCGGGTGTACTGGGTTTATGGTAAACTATCCAGTAACTCAAACCATCACTACATTTCTATAATTTCATCTTTGTCAGCACTAGCTTATAAAACGTAGCATCACTTCCATTATTTGGGTGGATCAGTCAGTAAGTATAAGATTTGTTTAATATTTGTTGTTGTCATTTTACAGTAGCGAATACTCTTTACAATTCATAATAACTAACAAAAAAGTAAATGGCAACTTGACCAATATTTATAAAAGGTGTCGATATTTGAATTTATGGAGGCTGCATATTTAGTCTGTAATAGTCAGTTAGCTCTCTTTGGATTTCTTTGAATTCTGGCACTTTCTTTTGTGATCTTCTGGTGAATATATAATGTTTTGTTATTAATGTGATGATGATGGTGAGTGAGGTATTATTCCTTTCGGTATAGCCAAGGAAAACAATTTCTTTTGATATGTTTACATTTATTTGAGCTTCTGATAACAGCCAATTTTTCAAATCATTCCAAACGGAGCGTATATAATGGCATCAGAGTATCAGATGGCCATCATTGTTTTCATGTAAACATAGAACATTATTTTAATGTTAATGTGACACACAATAAGGCCTACATGATACTTTTCATGAAGTGTCCATAGTTTCCATTGCACTATTTTGCAGTATATGGCACAAATGTTGAGTATTATATGACTTTCACTGTCCCAAAACTAGCCCTGAGTTTTCTTCCAGCGCCAGTTGTCCCCAAGGTGTACGACGAGTGTGAGAATGACACAATGTGCCCAGAGAACGCTCTCTGCAAGCTTGTCAACTGCACGAACCTTCGTTGCCTGTGCGAGCCAGGTTTCTCCCCTAACTCTGCTAGAACCGCCTGTTTCACAAGTACGTATATTTTACCTCGCATTCTTCGGGAGGAGTGTTTCTCGGGCGCTTAGTAACATAATCAATACGGATAGCCCAGTGGGTTGAGCAACAACCATAGCTGCCAGGGGCCTGATGTCGAATCTCAATTAGACAAATAATGATGCCTTGGTAACTCAGGGCGTTGTTCCGACAAATAGCAGACCTTTGATCAAACTAAAGTATCATCAGAGCGGTGTTAAAGTCTCGCTTACGAAGCTGTTTCACATGATATCATGCTTTATAATTTGTTCACATGGACAGCATTTGTCCATGAGCCATGAATGGACTGGTATATTGATTGTGAAGACAGAACTCAAACATTCTCACTTAAAGTGTCGCCCTTTTAATTTTAAAAGGGTGGTCGTGGATAGTAGTGGATTTTGCTTTAACTGCTAAAGAAACCGATAATGCTTTGCGCTTTTTAATTCACATGATCGAATATAGGCAATATATACATATACAATATATATGCCTAATATTTCTGGAATAGGAAAAGCTATATCATATTTTCTGTCTAATGCTAAATTATAGGAACTAACCATGAATTGAACCTTGTTCGATCGTCCCTTTATCCCCAAAGACATCTTTTCAGGCTTGGTTGTAAATAATTGCAGAAAACTGGAAGAAATGATATAAAGGTTCAGGCAAAATGACAAATCTGACCCAATCTCAATACAAGTGTAAATAGTGCCGCGGTGAAACAGACAATAGTTTTAGAAGAAAAATGCTACGTCTTGTTTTGTGAACTGATCGTACAGTATACTGTATGATTAAAGATGTTGATAGAAGTCTTAGTCCTCTCCCGTCTCACCACCGCACCTTTACCCCACCCACCCGTACCCGCCCTTCATCTCACTTATACCCACGCGGGCACCTGCCTTTCACCACATCCTACCTCTTACCGTTAACCACACATCTATCACCCGTACCTACCCTTTACCCCACCCACCCGTACCCGCCCTTCATCTCACTTATACCCACGCGGGCACCTGCCTTTCACCACATCCTACCTCCTACCGTTAACCACACATCTATCACCCGTACCTACCCTTTACCTCACCCAAACTTGCAATTACCATTCACCACATCCTACCCCGACCATAATCTTGACACCTAACCCAGCACTCACTCTTACCCTAGACTCAGTATTACTCCAGCGTTCCTCTTCCCGAGGACACGGATTGCCCAGTCGTCCTAAGCTCCACTGTACAAACTTGAGTCTACAAGCTGTGCTGGAAACCCTTACTTCATCCTGTTTCTGTGTTTGTAAGCAATATATCTGTTTCACAAAATGGGTAACTTCCGGTTTTCCTCCCACAGGAAGCTGACATGCAGTGATAAAACTGACAAATAATGTCCAAATCGGCTTCAAGCCAAACTCATCCCCTCACCCCTCTTACTTCAACCTTAACCCCCACTATTCGACTTCTCCCGCCATCTTCTTATTGTCTCACCCTCATCTCTCCTTCCCCACCATCTCTCCTCCCAACCTCAGCCCACACCCCCAACCATGCACCAACTCGTCTGCCCACCCACTTATTCTGCCTTCTCACGCCATCAACACACATATCTCTGACCTGGGCCCACTTGCAAAAAGCAACGTTAGCACAACCGTCTATGTCAGATTAATGGGAGTTAGACCATGATAGCACTGAGACCGTTTTGTGCAAGTGCACCCATGATGAAAGATGCTGAAAACGTTCAACAACACACCATCTCAGATGCAACCAACACCACGGGCCTTTGATAGTCCTTCAACGCTCAACATCTTGTTCCGAAGCTCCCAGGGGCTCCTTTCACGAAACAACCTTTACTAAGGTTAACCTAAACTCCCATTCTTTAACATTGCACTTAGGTTACCTTAGTGACTTACGATCACCTTAGTGTTTTGTGAAAGGAGGCCCTGAAACAGTAAGGGTAAATGTGACTTGTCGGGGATAAGTGTCACTATGGCAGATTGTGTAGGTATTTGACGTGTATGTTTGGTATTGTTTCGTTTCAGCGGCGGGACTCGGTGAAGCATGTAGCGCGACAGTGACATGTAAAACTCCTGGTAGCGCGTGCAACACAAATACAAACCTTTGCACGTGCGGGGCGCCTCTTACGGCGATGTCGTCTGACGGAAAGTATTGCATCAGACCGGGAGTCAAACTCCTAACCGATACTTGTCAGCCAGGAGAATGTTTGGGAGTATTATCCTCTTGTACCGCCGGACAGTGCGACTGTGGCACTTTCAGAGAAGCTACAGACGCTGAAATTGAGAATGAGCCGGATTTGTGGGAAGTGTTCGGACAATGTCGCCAAGGCACGTGAAGTTCATTCGGCCAGTCTCGTTCATCACCGTGTACTTCACGTAAACTCGGATTGTCATCATGCAATTCGGAAATACGAGTCATTTCGACAAAATCATTTAAATATTACATAATTTTAACATTTAATCTAATATTTTACATTTTCATTAATGCTGCAATTCGAGTTTATCTGAGAACATGGCCATGCTTGTTGGCTTGCGGGTAGCTGTGCATTTCTCTTTGATGGTTTGCGGGTAGCTGTGCGTTTCTCTTTGATGGTTTGCGGGTAGCTGTGCGTTTCTCTTTGATGGTTTGCGGGTAGTTGAACGTCTCTCGTTGATGGTTTGCGGGTAGCTGAACGTCTCTCGTTGCTGGTTGTGGAAACTTCCACTCGTGCACCTACTACTGCTTTAGTTGGAATAATGCTGGAATCACGAAACACTTTACTTGCAGTCGTTAGAAACAGTCGGTGCGTTTAGACTACTAGTATATGGCCTTGGGGAACGTTAAAAGAAAAACTATGAATAAACCCTTTGAAGTGGGTATGACAATAGCGTACTGGCTGGTTCTTTAGACAGAGGGGCGTTTAGACATGCTTCGTATAGTGGCTTCATGCACCATGTGGTACTTCGTGTTATGTACCTCCATGTACCTCGAAGTACCTCATGTTATCTTAACTTTTGTCATGCTTTATGTTATATCGCCTTGCACGATAGATTCGCTTTGGCTAGGTTTCAAGAACTGATCCATCATCTATGCACGACCAAGCCATGAAATGATGTCAGACATTCTCTAGAAACGTCTTTCTAGTTCGTTCTTCAATACACTGTTCCACTTTTACTGTCTCTAACCAGGGGGACCCGTGACGGTCCGGGTTAGCATATTGATCTTCTGTAACCCATGCTTGTCGTAAGAGGCGACTAACGGGATCGGGTGGTCAGGCTCGCTGACTTGGTTGACACATGTCATCGGTTCCCAATGGCGCAGATCGATGTTCATGTTGTTGATTGTCTGGTGCAGACTCGATTATTTACAGCCCGCCGCCATATGGCTGGAATATTGCTGAGTGCGGTGTGAAACTAAACTCACTCACTCTAACCAGGGGGTGATCGTCCTTTAATACACTGTTCAACTTTTACTGTCTCTAACCTGTCTGTAGCCCTTCTCTCACATCAGACTGACACTCCCATAAGTTACCTGAAACATGCTGGGTTAACCTTTTCTCATTCACTCACAATACTTTGGTTTCTGTTCTGTTGATGTTTATATAGTTCCCGTTTTAACTAGTGCGCTTTGGGCTCTACACATAGACGGTAGAAGACCACAGCTGTTTGCTTGTTTGTATTCACGAGGGTCTGTCTGAACCCAGACTCAGAGTTAACTGTACCCACTCAAGTTTTATCACATATCTATAAATACACAAAAAAAAGATTATGCACATTAATTTTAGTAAATTAGAAAAGCTCAATCTTTTTTATGGTTCTTCTTTCAAACAGGAATTTGCTCCTGGGTTTACATAGTGCTTCGAGGCCTTTGCTATTTCAGACCTAAACAGTTCGTTAATCACAAAAGTGACACAAATGTCATGAGATTGCAATACGTATGTTGCATCAACGTCTGTATCAACACATGGAAGATGTATGTTTACTGATGTACGTTACAGGTGCGGCGCCTGATCCAGTCCCTGCCGGAGGAGCGACCGGGGAGGAGGAATGTCAGCAGCGTAAGTGTCTCGTACATTCCGGTAGAAACTAAATCATCATACAGTCATAATATTTGTTTGTTTATTGTTCAACTCGGCTATGCTCCAGCTGTATGACCGCGGTCTGTAAATAATCGAGTCTGGACCAGACAATCCTGTGATCAACAGATTGAGCATTAATCTACCCAAATGGGATACGATGACATGTGTCAACCAAGTCGGCGAGTCTGACCACCCGATCCCGCTAGTCGCCTCTTACGACAAGCATGGGTTGCTGAAGACCAATCGTAACCCGGTCACCGCGGGTCTTCACGTACAATACCCCTGATTCCGTGATAGGTCATATACAGTGTACCCGACGGGAAAAGTGGCACTATAACGAGGGTGGTGATATGCCCATGGAAACCTGACCTAACTGATTAATACATAAACAGTCAAAAAGAACCAAGACAGATTCATTCAATCGAGGCGTTTCTTTGTCAAACCTGGAGTGAGTGAGTTAAGTTTTACGCCGCTTTTGGCAATATTCCACAATATCACGGAGGGGGACACCAGTAATGGGCTTCACACATTGTACCCATGTAGGGAATCGAACCCGGGTATTCGGCGTGACGAGCGACCGCTTTAACCACAAGGCTACCCAACCGTCCCTGTCAAACCTGGAATCACGTGTTGACAAGTATAATTCGGTAACGTCCTTAACATAAGTTGCCTAGAGGAACATTTTACAGTTATAGTATATACTTGTATGTGAAGAAAACGCAGATGAGTGTGCATGTTTCTTCCTCTGTTGTAGTTGCTCCTGGCGACGTCTGTACATCCGACGTGCTCTGTCCCCAACACTCCAGCTGCCTGCCGGCCGAGGGTGGCTGTGGAAGCCGGTGCTGGTGCGACATCGGATACGCCCCCGACGACCCCGTGCCATCCAAGTGTGTAATAGGTACATATAGATCCCTACATCCAAATGCAGCTGGTACTCCCTACACCTAGATACAACTGGTACTCCCTACACCTAGATACAGTTGGTACTCCCTACACCTAGATACAGTTGGTACTCCCTACACCTAGATACAACCGGTACTCCCTACACCTAGATACAACCGGTACTCCCTACACCTAGATACAACCGGTACTCCCTACACCTAGATACAACCGGTACTCCCTACACCTAGATACAGTTGGTACTCCCTACACCTAGATACAGTTGGTACTCCCTACACCTAGATACAGCTGGTACTCCCTACACCTAGATACAGTTGGTACTCCCTACACCTAGATACATACAGTTGGTACTCCCTACACCCAGATACAGTTGGTAACATACAGTTGGTACTCCCTACACCTAGATACAGTTGGTACTCCCTACACCTAGATACAGCTGGTACTCCCTACACCTAGATACAACCGGTACTCCCTACACCCAGATACAGCCGGTACTCCCTACACCTAGATACAACCGGTACTCCCTACACCTAGATACAACCGGTACTCCCTACACCTACAGATACAACCGGTACTCCCTACACCTAGATACTGTTGGTACTCCCTACACCTAGATACTGTTGGTACTCCCTACACCTAGTTGGTATACAGTTGGTACTCCCTACACCTAGATACTGTTGGTACTCCCTACACCTAGATACTGTTGGTAATCCCTACACCTAGATACCGTCTGTACTCCCTACACCTAGATACAGTTGGTACTCCCTACACCTAGATACAGTTGGTACTCCCTACACCTAGATACAGTTGGTACTCCCTACACCTAGATACAACCGGTACTCCCTACACCCTGATACAGTTGGTAAAATACAGTTGGTACTCCCTACACCTAGATACAGTTGGTACTCCCTACACCTAGATACAGTTGGTACTCCCTACACCTAGATACAGTTGGTACTCCCTACACCTAGATACAACCGGTACTCCCTACACCTAGATACAGTTGGTACTCCCTACACCTAGATACAGTTGGTACTCCCTACACCTAGATACAGTTGGTACTCCCTACACCTAGATACTGTTGGTACTCCCTACACCTAGATACAGTTGGTAACATACAGTTGGTACTCCCTACACCTAGATACAGTTGGTACTCCCTACACCTAGATACAGCTGGTACTCCCTACACCTAGATACAGCTGGTACTCCCTACACCTAGATACAGTTGGTACTCCCTACACCTAGATACAACCGGTACTCCTACACCTAGATACAACCGGTACTCCCTACACCTAGATACAACCGGTACTACACCTAGACCTACACCTAGATACAGCCGGTACAACCGGTACTCCCTACACCTAGATACAGTTGGTACTCCCTACACCTAGATACAGTTGGTACTCCCTACACCTAGATACAGTTGGTACTCCCTACACCTAGATACAGTTGGTACTCCCTACACCTAGATACAGTTGGTAACATACAGTTGGTACTCCCTACACCTAGATACTGTTGGTACTCCCTACACCTAGATACAGTTGGTACTCCCTACACCTAGATACAGTTGGTAATCCCTACACCTAGATACCACCGGTACTCCCTACACCTAGATACAGTTGGTACTCCCTACACCTAGATACAGTTGGTACTCCCTACACCTAGATACAGTTGGTACTCCCTACACCTAGATACAGTTGGTACTCCCTACACCTAGATACAGTTGGTACTCCCTACACCTAGATACAGTTGGTACTCCCTACACCTAGATACTGTTGGTACTCCCTACACCCAGATACAGTTGGTACTCCCTACACCTAGATACAGTTGGTACTCCCTACACCTAGATACAGTTGGTACTCCCTACACCTAGATACAGTCTGTACTCCCTACACCTAGATACAGTTGGTACTCCCTACACCTAGATACAGTTGGTACTCCCTACACCTAGATACAGTTGGTACTCCCTACACCTAGATACAACCGGTACTCCCTACACCTAGATACAGTTGGTAACATACAGTTGGTACTCCCTACACCTAGATACAGTTGGTACTCCCTACACCTAGATACAGTTGGTACTCCCTACACCTAGATACAGTTGGTACTCCCTACACCTAGATACAGTTGGTACTCCCTACACCTAGATACAGTTGGTACTCCCTACACCTAGATACAGTTGGTACTCCCTACACCTAGATACAGTTGGTACTCCCTACACCTAGATACAGTTGGTACTCCCTACACCTAGATACAGTTGGTACTCCCTACACCTAGATACAGCTGGTACTCCCTACACCTAGATACAGTTGGTACTCCCTACACCTAGATACAGTTGGTACTCCCTACACCTAGATACAGTTGGTAAAATACAGCCGGTACTCCCTACACCTAGATACAACCGGTACTCCCTACACCTAGATACAACTTGGTACTCCTACACCTAGATACAGCTGGTACTCCCTACACCAGTAGATACAGATACGGTACTCCCTACACCTAGATACAGTTGGTACTCCCTACACCTAGATACAGTTGGTACTCCCTACATCCAGATACAGTTGGTACTCCCTACACCTAGATACAGTTGGTACTCCCTACATCCAGATACAGTTGGTACTCCCTACACCTAGATACAGTTGGTACTCCCTACACCTAGATACAGTTGGTACTCCCTACACCTAGATACAGTTGGTACTCCCTACACCTAGATACAGTTGGTTCTCCCTACACCTAGATACAGTTGGTACTCCCTACATCCAGATACAGTTGGTTCTCCCTACACCTAGATACAGTTGGTACTCCCTACACCTAGATACAGTTGGTACTCCCTACACCTAGATACAGTTGGTTCTCCCTACACCCAGATACAGTTGGTACTCCCTACACCTAGATACAGTCCCTGGTACTCCCCTACACCTAGATACAGTTGGTACTCCTACACCTAGATACAGTTGGTTCCTCCCTACACCTAGATACAGTTGGTACTCCCTACACCTAGATACAGTTGGTATACCTCCCTACACCCAGATACAGTTGGTACTCCCTACACCTAGATACAGTTGGTTCTCCCTACACCTAGATACAGTTGGTTCTCCCTACACCTAGATACAGTTGGTTCTCCCCTACACCTAGATACAGTTGGTTCTCCCTACACCTAGATACTCTCCCTACACCTAGATAGATACAACCGGTACTCCCTACACCTAGATACAGTTGGTACTCCCTACACCTAGATACAGTTGGTACTCCCTACACCTAGATACAGTTGGTACTCCCTACACCTAGATACAGTTGGTACTCCCTACACCTAGATACAGTTGGTACTCCCTACACCTAGATACAGTTGGTACTCCCTACACCTAGATACAGTTGGTACTCCCTACACCTAGATACAGTTGGTACTCCCTACACCTAGATACAGTTGGTTCTCCCTACACCTAGATACAGTTTGTTACTCCCTACACCTAGATACAGTTGGTTCTCCCTACACCTAGATACAGTTGGTACTCCCTACACCTAGATACAGTTGGTACTCCCTACACCTAGATACAGTTGGTACTCCCTACACCTAGATACAGTTGGTACTCCCTATACCTAGATACAGTTGGTACTCCCTACACCTAGATACAGTTGGTTCTCCCTACACCTAGATACACTTGGTACTCCCTACACCTAGATACAGTTGGTACTCCCTACACCTAGATACAGTTGGTTCTCCCTATACCTAGATACAGTTGGTACTCCCTACACCTAGATACAGTTGGTTCTCCCTACACCTAGATACAGTTGGTACTCCCTACACCTAGATACAGTTGGTTCTCCCTACACCTAGATACAGTTGGTTCTCCCTACACCTAGATACAGTTGGTACTCCTACACCCCTGATATACAGTTGGTACTCCCTACACCTAGATACAGTTGGTACTCCTACACCTAGATACAGTTGGTACTCCTACACCCCTGATACAGTTGGTACTCCCTACACCTAGATACAGTTGGTACTCCCTACACCTAGATACAGTTGGTACTCCCTACACCCAGATACAGTTGGTTCTCCCTATACCTAGATACAGTTGGTTCTCCCTACACCTAGATACTGTTGGTTCTCCCTACACCTAGATACAGTTGGTTCTCCCTACACCTAGATACAGTTGGTTCTCCCTACACCTAGATACTGTTGGTTCTCCCTACACCTAGATACAGTTGGTTCTCCCTACACCTAGATACAGTTGGTTCTCCCTACACCTAGATACAGTAGGTTCTCCCTACACCTAGATACAGTTGGTTCTCCCTACACCTAGATACAGTTGGTACTCCCTACACCTAGATACAGTTGGTACTCCCTACACCTAGATACAGTTGGTACTCCCTACACCTAGATACAGTTGGTACTCCCTACACCTAGATACAGTTGGTTCTCCCTACACCTAGATACAGTTGGTTCTCCCTACACCCAGATACAGTTGGTACTCCCTACATCCAGATACAGTAGGTACTCCCTACACCTAGATACAGTTGGTTCTCCCTACACCTAGATACAGTTGGTACTCCCTACACCTCCAGATACAGTTGGTTCTCCCTACACCTAGATACAGTTGGTTCTCCCTACACCTAGATACAGTTGGTTCTCCCTACACCCAGATACAGTTGGTTCTCCCTATACCTAGATACAGTTGGTTCTCCCTACACCTAGATACAGTTGGTTCTCCCTACACCTAGATACAGTTGGTTCTCCCTACACCTAGATACAGTTGGTTCTCCCTACATCCAGATACAGTTGGTACTCCCTACATCCAGATACAGTTGGTACTCCCTACACCTAGATACAGTTGGTACTCCCTACACCTAGATACAGTTGGTACTCCCTACACCTAGATGCAGTTGGTGACTCCTACAGTTAGATACAGTCCCTACACCTAGATACAGTTGGTTCTCCCTACACCTAGATACAGTTGGTACTCCCTACACCTAGATACAGTTGGTACTCTCCCTACATCCAGATACAGTTGGTACTCCTCCTAGACACCTAGATAGTTCTCCCTACACCTAGATACTGTTGGTACTCCCTACACCTAGATACAGTTGGTACTCCCTACACCTAGATACAGTTGGTTCTCCCTACACCTAGATACAGTTGGTTCTCCCTACACCTAGATACAGTTGGTACTCCCTACACCTAGATACAGTTGGTACTCCCTACACCTAGATACAACCGGTACTCCCTACACCTAGATACAGTTGGTTCTCCCTACACCTAGATACAGTTGGTTCTCCCTACACCTAGATACAGTTGGTACTCCCTACACCTAGATACTGTTGGTACTCCCTACACCCAGATACAGTTGGTACTCCCTACACCTAGATACAGTTGGTTCTCCCTACACCTAGATACAGTTGGTACTCCCTACACCTAGATACAGTTGGTACTCCCTACACCTAGATACAGTTGGTACTCCCTACACCCAGATACAGTTGGTACTCCCTACACCTAGATACTGTTGGTACTCCCTACACCTAGATACAACCGGTACTCCCTACACCTAGATACAGTTGGTACTCCCTACACCTAGATACAGTTGGTACTCCCTACACCTAGATACAGTTGGTACTCCCTACACCTAGATACTGTTGGTACTCCCTACACCTAGATACAGTTGGTACTCCCGGTATGTCGGTGTTTCAGTTGTCAAGCGCGGGGAACCCTGCCAGGATGGCCAGCAGAAGTGTGGAGGATTTGCCACCTTCTGTAAGAGCGGTAAATGTGCGTGCATCCCGCCGTCGTACGAGCCGTCCAGCACAGGTGAACACTGCCGCCTGAAGGTGCCGTCCATCACGCTGGCCTTGCTGGGAGAACCTTGTGATTTTGCCTCGCTGACGTTCTGTGCCAATAAGTATGAGCAGACGTGTAACCCAACAACGAAAGTCTGCGAGTGTAAGCCTGGCTACAGGGAAGCGACTGCCAGAGACTACCTCGCACAGTATCCAAATGGCGCGCAGTGTCGGGAAGACGGCCAGGAAGATGGTAAGAAATGTTGATGCTATACCTGAGGCTAACGAGAAAATACTGCTTCCATAATCATAAACAAAATCTTCATTGTATGGTTCCGACTAATTTAAAATGGTAATTCAATTGGGGTTTTTTGTGTTATTTTTGAGACACGGTTAATTTCTAATTTTTAAGTCAAACCAACATTTTAAGTGTACAGTTTCTTTTGCCTGCTATTGCATTTTATAAAAGCGTCATATTTCCTCCCAGGATACCGACCGCCACTGACCTGTAGTGAGCCTCCGCTTGCCCTGGTACAAGAACCCCCAGACTTCTCAGAAGAGATAGCGAACGGTCGGTTGTCTTCTAATGTCTTAACTCTTTCACCATTACATTTTGTAACGTATACCCTCACAAATACTATCTAAGATAACTGTCATTTAAATTCGGTTGTAAACATGCATGTGTTTGTTTGTTGTTTAACACCGTACTCAGCAAAGTTCCAACTCTATGGCGGTGGTCTGTCAATAAACTGGAGTCCAGACCAGACAATCCAGTGATCAACAGCATGGGCATCGATCTACGTAGTTGCGATACGATGACCCGTCAACCAAGTCAGCAAGCCCGATCCCGTCAGTCGCCTCTTACGACAAACATGGGTTGCTGAAAACCAATTCTAACCGGGATCTTCATGGGTTGTTGATGTGTAGATTCTAGTGAATATGATCTGTATGCCTACTCCGGATGTTGCATCAGATTCTGGTCAATGTGATCTCTGCGCGGGTTGTTCCATACAGATTCTGGTCAATGTGAGCTCTATGCCTATTGGTGCATACAGATTCTGGTCAATGTGAGCTCTATGCCTATTGGTCCATACAGATTCTCGTCAATGTGAGCTCTATGCCTATTGGTGCATACAGATTCTGGTCAATGTGAGCTCTATGCCTATTGGTGCATACAGATTCTGGTCAATGTGAGCTCTATGCCTATTGGTGCATACAGATTCTCGTCAATGTGAGCTCTATGCCTATTGCTCTTCTCGTGTGAGCTCTATTGGTGCATACAGATTCAAGTCAATGTGATCTCTATGGCTATTGGTGCATACAGATTCTGGTCCTAAGTTGAGCTCTATGCCTATTGGTGCATACAGATTCTGGTCAATGTGAGCTCTATGCCTATTGGTGCATACAGATTCTGGTCAATGTCTCGATCTCAGATTCTGGTCAATGTGAGCTCTATGCTTATTGGTGCATACAGATTCTGGTCAATGTGAGCTCTATGCCTATTGGTGCATACAGATTCTGGTCAATGTGAGCTCTATGCCTATTGGTCCATACAGATTCTCTGTCAATGTGAGCTCTGTGCCTATTGGTGCATACAGATTCTGGTCAATGTGAGCTCTATGCCTATTATTGGTCCATACAGATTCTCGTCAATGTGAGCTCTGTGCCTATTGGTGCATACAGATTCTGGTCAATGTGAGCTCTATGCCTATTGGTGCATACAGATTCTGGTCAATGTGAGCTCTATGTGCTATTGGTGCATACAGATTCTCTAATTGTCAATGTGAGCTCTATGCCTATTGGTGCATACAGATTCTGGTCAATGTGAGCTCTATGCCTATTGGTGCATACAGATTCTGGTCAATGTGAGCTCTATGCCTATTGGTGCATACAGATTCTGGTCAATGTGAGCTCTATGCCTATTGGTGCATACAGATTCTGTCAATGTGAGCTCTATGCCTATTGGTGCATACAGATTCTGGTCAATGTGAGCTCTATGCCTATTGGTGCATACAGATTCTGGTCAATGTGAGCTCTATGCCTATTGGTGCATACAGATTCTGGTCATGCTCTATGATTCTACAGGTCAATGTGAGGCTCTATGCCTATTGGTGCATACAGATTCTGGTCAATGAGCTCTATGCCTATTGGTCAATGTGAGCTCTATGCCTATTGGTGCATACAGATTCTGGTCAATGTGAGCTCTATGCCTATTGGTGCATACAGATTCTCGTCAATGTGAGCTCTATGCCTATTGGTGCATACAGATTCTCGTCAATGTGAGCTCTATGCCTATTGGTGCATACAGATTCTGGTCAATGTGAGCTCTATGCCTATTGGTGCATACAGATTCTGGTCAATGTGAGCTCTATGCCTATTGGTGCATACAGATTCTGGTCAATGTGAGCTCTATGCCTATTGGTGCATACAGATTCTGGTGCATACAGATTCTGGTCAATGTGAGCTCTATGCCTATTGGTGCATACAGATTCTGGTCAATGTGAGCTCTATGCCTATTGGTGCATACAGATTCTCGTCAATGTGAGCTCTATGCCTATTGGTGCATACAGATTCTCGTCAATGTGAGATCAATGCCTATTGAGCTCTGTGCCTATTTGGTGCATACAGATTCTCGTCAATGTGATCTGTAAGTCTGTTGTTGCAAACATATGTTAAGATCCCATGCCTATTGGTGGCATACAGATTCTCGTCAATGTGATCTGTATGTCTGTTGTTGCATACATATGTTAAGATCCCATTAGCGACAGTACATATCTTGATGGCAGTTTTAGCGTTACAAGCCCGTGTTGTCACATACAATGTGATCTGTATGTCTGTTGTTACAGCTGCTGGAAACCAGGGCAGTGTTGTTCTGTATGTCATGGTTCCCACCGTCCTCTCCATCTGTGTCCTCGCTGCCGCCTTCACCATCGCCAGATATAGACGGTAGGTTGAGCAACATCACAACCCCTTTTGTATGGTACAGCCACTGTGACCTTGACCCTTGACCCAGCTTGTAGTTAAAGAGATCAATCAAGTGGTTACTATATGGTCTCATGCAGTGTATGTCCCTGGTAGGGCGGTGGGGTAGCCTAGTGGTTAAAGCGTTGGCTCGTCACGCCGAAGACCCGGGTTCGAATCCCCACATGGGTACAATGTGTGAAGCCGTGATGTTGCTGGAATATTGCTAAAAGCGGCGTAAAACCAAACTCAGTCAGTCAGTCAGTATGTCCCTGGTATTATACTCCCCGCGAACCATGACTTCATTGCTCTATAGTCCGTCACTGAAACTCACGCTTGCAACATATTGTAGTTACTTTAAGCAACACCCTTCCAGGGACAGGCGGATCCAGACGGGGTGCAGAGTTTATTAAATGACCATTGAAACTCTCATGAAAATGAAATGTGCACTCCCCCTTTCTCAAGAGTGCACCCACCGCCCTCCCCCTTTCTCAAAAAGCTGTATCCGCCCCTGCTAGCACAATGGTGCCACTTCAGGCGCGCTCTCCTTGTCCGCAGTGGGCGATTTGAGCCACATCCCCTTGCGTCCTCTATGTTGCTGGTACTTGCAGCAATGCCACTCTTGCTCTGTAGTGCAACTGTAACCGCTGGGTGCTTGTTCCAGAACGGTCAGTTTAAGCCACGTAATTCTTTCCTCTACATGTGTAACTTCAAGCCACGCCCTCGTTCCACCATGGTGCAGTAACCTTAAAGTACGACCCCCTGCTACGTATTATAGTTGCTTAAGGTGAGGTGAGGTGAAATTGGGTTTAAACGTCGTGTTTGAGAATATTTCGCTCATATGACGACGTGCATGCGTGTGTATGTGTATGTGCGGCTGCTTGTACTAGCCCAGACTGAAGCTGGTTTATAGTGCTAGCCCACTGAGATACCATGCCGCAGTGAAGCATGAATACCCCACTCAGACACATTATACTGACTCCGAGCCGACCAGTCCTTGATGTACCCATTAATGCCGAGCGCCAGGCAGGGACCAACAAGTACCATATTTTAACGTCATTTGGTTTGACGCGGTCGGGGATCGAACCCGCGACCTTCCGCTCTCCGGGCGGACGCTCTAACAACTACACCACGGAGGCGGTCCTATAGTTGCTTTAAGCTCTATATTGGTCAGTTTAAGCCAAGCCCTTGTTTCCTCTATATCGGTTACTTTAAGCCACATGCTCCTTTTTCTATATTGTAATCACTTAAAGATACACCCTCCTTGCTCTACATTGGTCACTTCAAGCCACGCCCTCCATCCTATAGTGCAGTCGTCTTCAAGTACGACCCTTGCTCTGTATTTAGTTGCTATACTGGTTACTTTAAGACACGCCCTCCGTCCTATAGTGCAGTCGTCTTCAAGTACGACCCTTGCTCTGTATTTAGTTGCTATACTGGTTACTTTAAGCCACGCCCTCCGTCCTATAGTGCAGTCGTCTTCAAGTACGACCCTTGCTCTGTATTTAGTTGCTATACTGGTTGCACTTTAAGTGCAGTCCAGGTACGCCCTCCATCCTTTAAGCCACGCCCTCCAAGTCCTATAGTGCAGCCTTCACGCCCTCCATCCGTATGGACCCTGCAGTCGTCTTCAAATTACGACCCTTGCTCTGTATTTAGTTGCTATACTGGTTACTTTAAGCCACGCCCTCCATCCTATAGTGCAGTCGTCTTCAAGTACGACCCTTGCTCTGTATTTAGTTGCTATACTGGTTACTTTAAGCCACGCCCTCCGTCCTATAGTGCAGTCGTCTTCAAGTACGACCCTTGCTCTGTATTTAGTTGCTATACTGGTTACTTTAAGCCACGCCCTCCGTCCTATAGTGCAGTCGTCTTCAAGTACGACCCTTGCTCTGTATTTAGTTGCTATACTGGTTACTTTAAGCCACGCCCTCCGTCCTATGGTGCAGTCGTCTTGAAGTACGACCCTTGCTCTGTATTTAGTTGCTATACTGGTTACTTTAAATACACGCCCTCCGTCCTATGGTGCAGTCGTCTTCAAATACGACCCTTGCTCTGTATTTAGTTGCTATACTGGTTACTTTAAAGCCACGCCCTCCGTCCTATGGTGCAGTCGTCTTCAAAGTACGACCCTTGCTCTGTATTTAGTTGCTATACTGGTTACTTCAAGCCACGCCCTCCGTCCTATAGTGCAGTCGTCTTCAAATTACGACCCTTGCTCTGTATTTAGTTGCTATACTGGTTACTTTAAGCCACGCCCTCCGTCCTATAGTGCAGTCGTCTTCAAGTACGACCCTTGCTCTGTATTTGGTTGCTATACTGGTTACTTTAAGCCACGCCCTCCGTCCTATAGTGCAGTCGTCTTCAAGTACGACCCTTGCTCTGTATTTAGTTGCTATACTGGTTACTTTAAGCCACGCCCTCCGTCCTATGGTGCAGTCGTCTTCAAATTACGACCCTTGCTCTGTATTTGGTTGCTATACTGGTTACTTTTAAAGCCACGCCCTCCGTCCTATGGTGCAGTCGTCTTCAAGTACGACCCTTGCTCTGTATTTAGGATTGCTATACTGGTTACTTTAAGCCACGCCCTCCGTCCTATAGTGCAGTCGTCTTCCAAAATTTACGACCCTTGCTCTGTATTTAGTTGCTATACTGGTTACTTTAAGCCACGCCCTCCATCCTATGGTGCAGTCGTCTTCAAGTACGACCCTTGCTCTGTATTTAGTTGCTATACTGGTTACTTTAAGCCACGCCCTCCGTCCTATAGTGCAGTCGTCTTCAAGTACGACCCTTGCTCTGTATTTAGTTGCTATACTGGTTACTTTAAGCCACGCCCTCCGTCCTATAGTGCAGTCGTCTTCAAGTACGACCCTTGCTCTGTATTTAGTTGCTATACTGGTTACTTTAAGCCACGCCCTCCGTCCTATAGTGCAGTCGTCTTCAAGTACGACCCTTGCTCTGTATTTAGTTGCTATACTGGTTACTTTAAGCCACGCCCTCCGTCCTATGGTGCAGTCGTCTTGAAATTACGACCCTTGCTCTGTATTTAGTTGCTATACTGGTTACTTTAAGCCACGCCCTCCGTCCTATAGTGCAGTCGTCTTCAAGTACGACCCTTGCTCTGTATTTGGTTGCTATACTGGTTACTTTAAGCCACGCCCTCCGTCCTATAGTGCAGTCGTCTTCAAGTACGACCCTTGCTCTGTATTTAGTTGCTATACTGGTTACTTTAAGCCACGCCCTCCGTCCTATAGTGCAGTCGTCTTCAAGTACGACCCTTGCTCTGTATTTAGTTGCTATACTGGTTACTTTAAGCCACGCCCTCCGTCCTATAGTGCAGTCGTCTTCAAGTACGACCCTTGCTCTGTATTTAGTTGCTATACTGGTTACTTTAAGCCACGCCCTCCGTCCTATAGTGCAGTCGTCTTCAAGTACGACCCTTGCTCTGTATTTAGTTGCTATACTGGTTACTTTAAGCCACGCCCTCCGTCCTATAGTGCAGTCGTCTTCAAGTACGACCCTTGCTCTGTATTTAGTTGCTATACTGGTTACTTTAAGCCACGCCCTCCGTCCTATAGTGCAGTCGTCTTCAAATTTACGACCCTTGCTCTGTATTTAGTTGCTATACTGGTTACTTTAAGCCACGCCCTCCGTCCTATAGTGCAGTCGTCTTCAAGTACGACCCTTGCTCTGTATTTAGTTGCTATACTGGTTACTTTTAGCCACGCCCTCCGTCCTATGGTGCAGTCGTCTTCAAGTACGACCCTTGCTCTGTATTTAGTTGCTATACTGGTTACTTTAAGCCACGCCCTCCGTCCTATAGTGCAGTCGTCTTCAAGTACGACCCTTGCTCTGTATTTAGTTGCTATACTGGTCAGTTTAAGCAGGGGATACTCTACAACAGGGATAGGTCGCTCGCTTGCTTTCTTTACCATTTTGTACTAATTAACGTGTGCCTCGTCATGCTCCAACGCACACGGTGACTTGGTTCAGGTCCCAGCGCAACTTCGGCTGCGTTTAACAGTACTTCAGCCAGTGTATTGTATAGGTCCGGAATTTTTACAATGAATGAATGAATGAATTAAGAGCAAAATTTTATGTGAATGAATGAAAGAAATTAAGAGAAAAGAACAAAAGAAAAAGAACATATGTGAATGAATGAAAGAATAAATGATACACCACGGCCATCCCTCCCCAAACATGTTAAAGAACGCAAAACTATCGGTAGAACACATGTTAACATCAGCTGTCCTTTTTCAAAAAAATTACTTTGAGACATTTTTACATTAGTAACTAATTCAGATATCTTATTGCATGTGTGGAATGACAAGGGGCATTGACATTAACAGAATGTTAACTGACACTGTCACAGACCCCTCAAGAACAGAAAGGTTAGAACTATCACAAAGCCTTGCAAACACCTTTCCAGTTTTGTCAAATACTAAGATCAACAAGAAAGAAGAAGTTTTAGAACTATACCACTCAAAGCATCCACAAGCACCAATGGCGTATCAGAACAGATCGGCGATATGTCATATTTTCCACACACCTCAAATACACACTAACAAAAAAAATAAATTAAAACTATCACTATTACTTGCAAAAACTTTCACCTGATGGTATATTCCCCTCATAAAAATAAAAGGTGTATGTGAAGATGTTTTAGAACAATAACTAGAAACACTCAAACAACGCCCTGTAGTATTTCAATGGCAGATCGGCGATATGTCATATTTTTACCACACCTCAAATACACACTAACAATTTTTTTTTAAATTATAAAACTATCACTATTACTTGCAAACACCTTTCACCTGATGGTATATTCCCCTCATAAAAATTGAAGGTGTATGTGAAGATGTTTTTTGAACACTAACTAGAAACACTCAAACAACGCCCTGTAGTATTTCAATGGCAGATCGGCGATATGTCATATTTTTCACACACCTCAAATACACCCTAACAAAATTTTTTTAGTCATAAAAATATCACTATTACTTGCAAACACCTTTTAACTAAAGGTATATTTCCCTTCTAAAAATTGAAGGTGTATGTGAAAGATGTTTTTGAACACTAACTAGAAACACTCAAACAACGCCCTGTAGTATTTCAATGGCAGATCGGCGATATGTCATATTTTCACACACCTCAAATACACCTAACAAAATTTTAGTCATAAAATATCACTATTACTTGCAAACACCTTTTAACTAAAAGGTATATTTCCCTTCTAAAATTGAAGGTGTATGTGAAAGATGTTTTTGAACACTAACTAGAAACACTCAAACAACGCCCTGTAGTATTTCAATGGCAAATGATCGGCGATATGTCATATTTTCACACACCTCAAATACACCCTAACAAATTTTTTTTTTTAGTAATAAAAATATCACTATTACTTGCAAACACCTTTTAACTAAAGGTATATTTCCCTTCTAAAAATTAAACGAATATATGAAAGAGTTTTAGCGATATAATTTAGTCTTTCTTCGCTGTGTACTGAGAATTGAAGCCAGAGGCTACAACATGCCCACTTGAAACTTTACTACAAAGCTACTGTACTTATACTGACACTAATAACAAAAGGTATTTGACTTAAAATGAAGTGACAGAATAGGTAACTTATCTTCTACATGTAGGTTTTCAGTTGTCACAACACTCAGCGTATGTAAACAACTTTTTTAAGCCACGCTCCTTTGCTTTGTAATGTGGTCACAAAAGCCACACCCCTTCCTCTATTGTACAGACATTTTCAGTCAAGCCCTCTTGTTTTATGCTGTCGTCGCTTTGTCATGCCCATTGCGTAGACAGTTACACACAGACCCCCAAACCCTATAGATTATCATTGTTATTTTGTCCTGATGTTGTTGTACATGTTGCTCTCCTCAGACGTCTACGTCTCCGCCAGCAGCTGGATGACATGTCCTCCGTTACCAGTGAGGAGACCGGCTTCCAGATTCCCAGACCATCCCTCAAGCTGTTCAGGGGAGACAGGAATTGGTCTGGACAGGAATCAGCGTTCAGGAACCCAACATTTGTGGGAACAACTTCTTAAAACTGTATCAACACAACTGTATAGATTCCAGACATACAATTAGTGTAACATAATATGAGGCAATGCAAGGCAATACAACCATTCTCTCTTTATGAATCTACAAGTCACGAACATTGTCACTATTGTTAGTATGTTTGATATCTCGGACTATATTAAAATTGTTATGAGCTCTTGAATTATTTTTGTAAACCCAACTGGCTTGGTACATGCGACAAAGCTTGATCATGAGCCGCTCCAGAATGATATGCATTTTAATCTGGGCAGCTGAAGGAGATGAAATAAACTATATTTTTACAAAATTGACATGAAAAACTTTGTTTGATAAGTTATTTAATCTTTTTGTTTTATTAATAGTTAGTATTTTGGAATTGAAACTGGGGTGAAATACCTTGACTATGTGCACCATCCAATGACTTGAGTGTTCCATACATGTACTTTAACTACATTGTGAGTGAGTGAGTTCAGTTTTGAGCCGCACTCGCCAATATTCAAGCTATATGACAGTGGTCTGTAAATAATCGAGTCTGGACCAGACAATCCAGTGATCAACAGCATCAGCATCGATCTACGCATTTTGGGATACAATGACATGTGTCAGCGAGCCTGACCACCTGATCCCATTAGTCGCCTCTTACGACAAGCATGGGTTACTGAAGATCAATTCTAACCCGGATCTTCACAAGACTAACTATATCACGTACAGCAGCCATGGGAACCTGTAGTATTCACTGAACTGTAATGTTTCCCTAAACCTGTACAAAGAATGGGTGTGAGCAAGCAAGCATCACATACAAGAACATACAGTATTTAATGAGAAAATCTTAAAAGTTAATAAAATATACAAATGAAAATGTCACAGAATTCTTGAGACAAAATATTTATTTGAATGTATATTTTGATAGATACATATTATAGATATACACAGAAGTATACAATATATGATTTAATAATAAGAAAAGCAACATGAACAAGAGGCCGACTTCCCTCAGTGGAATGTATTGGTCACAATCAATTTCTGAGAGGCCAATCAGAATGAACACATTGTAGCCCTCTGAATAACATTACCTACTGGAATTTGAACTCATGTCATAACAAAAACACATTTTTTTACTTCTTACCAATTCAAAAATAGAGAAAGAGAAGAACATTTAGACATATTTGAAACTCCAGCTTTTAGCTTACCTAGAATAAGAATGCTTTATAAGATAGGCATAACCAACTGACAAAATTTTATATTTCTTGTAGAACAAATGCACTTTGATTTACTGTCATATCTTTACTACAGCTAAGGTATTTTGATTAGCATGGCCTCACAAAGCATCAATAAATATAGTAATGAAGACAAGTAATAAAGGAGGCTTCTTTCAGCTACTACAGTTTAACTAACTTGGCAGATCTGTCGTGCCATATCAAATTACATCGCCATACAAGAAACAATCTTCACAAAGAATGTTTTCAATGAGTTGCCATGTCAACTGAAATGCGAACATTTGCTGAGAACTGTATGAACAGTTTTACATGCACCATTGATGAGGCCACTCACACTAAGTTTCAAGTACTTTCAAAATTTGCAGGTTGAAAAAGATGCTAAATATTTCAACAGACACCAATGCAAAATGCAACACGACATTTGCTCAGTCAAATGTTCAGACAGTTCAAGTAAATGAGAGCATACAATTTGGTAAAAGGACCATAAAACAAGCTGCCTTAGAGCAAATCAGCAAGACCTCAACCTGGAAGGTCATAACAATGAATTAGACAGACATCCCTTCTTGCTTCAATAAAAAAAACAATTCCCATGATTCGTCTACCCTGTATGATCATGACATTCTGTGAGTCAGTGGAATGATACAATGAATGATTATCGGAAAAACAATATAATGGCTCCTAACTCCTGTTTTCAAATTTGCAAAACGTATGATTTCTGTTAGGACATAAAGGGTTTGGTGCATACACAGACCATGGTATTCTGGGTCTTGGTAGGAAAGTGAGTGAGTGAGTTTTAGCTGCGTTTAGCAATGTCCCAGCAATATCACGGCGGGGGACACCACAAATAGGCTTCACACATTGTACCCTTGAGGGGACTCAAGCCCGGGTGTGTGGCATGACGAGCAAATGATTTAACCACCAAGCTGCCCCACCGCCCCTCTTATTAAGCGAATATTAGTATAGCAACCACTATCCAGTTCAGCTGCTCAAAGGCGCTTTGTTTTTCCTTCGATTATTGGATGTCAATCTCAAACAGTACATGATATTATATCAATCTCCACTCCCTGGGGATCATACAACTCTTGCAGCCACTAGGCGCACTGAGTTAATGTGGCTTTCCCATCCTTACGAGGTACCCACTTGCAGTTGGGTGGAGTGGGACACATAGTCACAGTACTTTGTCCAAGTTTTACTGCACGTTGCTGTACCCGCAACTAGGTGTTAGCATGTATTCATGTGGCCACCATCTGGTCATCTAACAAAAGATTCATGGGTTCTTTTAAGTGCACAGGGTTGTGTACTGTACACTACCGGTTGTGACAACACTGAAAGAGTCTGCACACAAAGTTGACTCCAAGATTTCTCTACACCCAGTCACAGGTGGGCTCGATCACTGAACCTAAAGCTCGCTGGATCACTAGCCTGGCACCTTAAACAGCTCGCCCACCACTCCCCTCTTGGTTGGAAAAGACAGACAAAAATACACTGAGGTACAAAAGAAAGTACACAGTTGGGGGGGATTTAAAAAATAAATTTAAATATTTTGAAAAGTGTCTACTAGATTAATAGTGAGTAAAGGTTGCTGAGTCTGCGATATTCCAGCTGCATCACAGTTGTCTGACCAGAGACAGGTACCGACAGCACGATCTGTGGTCAAGGTAACGGAGGCACAATATTTCAAGAGACAGAGCAATCTTAACACTATGTTGTCACAGGTCTGTCATAGTATCAGAGTTCTTAAAGCTATGTTGCTTTGTGGAATGGGGTACAGGTCAACCAAACCAGACTCTCAAATCTCAGGTTCTGTGGCATACTTGAACTACTGGCAGACAATTTCCTGGGGAACCATAGTGACAGGTTGAAGTGGTTTACTATCAGTGTGGTTTTCTCAAACATTTTAAAACAAAGTTTGGGTTAGATCCAGGTTAGCAATTGATCTTCAGTAACCCATGCTTGTCGTAAGAGGTGACTAACTGGATCGGGTGGTCAGGCTCACCGACTTGGTTGACACATGTCATCGTATCACAGATGTGTGCCGCCGCTGGAATATTGCTGAGTGCGACATTTAACAACAACTAATCCAATTGTGTAGATCGATGCTGATGCTGTTGATCACTGGATTGTCTGGTCCAGACTATTATTTACAGACAGCTGCCATACAGCTGGAATATTGCTGAGTGCGACATTTAACAACAACTAACCCAATTGTGTAGATCGATGCTGATGCTGTTGATCACTGGATTGTCTGGTCCAGACTATTATTTACAGACAGCTGCCATACAGCTGGAATATTGCTGAGTGCGGAGTAAAACTAAACTCACACACTCACTCTGATAGCTACTGATCTGAATAGATGTAGACTTGGACCCTCTATATAAACCTGACATCAACTCAGAGATTCATTCCACAGTAGATGGTCCAACATGATGCAAATGGTTTGGGTTTAGTTTGGGTTTAGTTTGTCCAGAAAGATGCTGTATCCATGTACCATACAGATGAAAGTATGGACGGACTGCAAATTACAATGGTATCAAATATGCAAGCAAACAATACCACATGCTCAAAATATAAATTGTTACCTTACCAAAGTGTGAATGTGGAAAAATGGCATAGCAAAGTGTGTTGATGAATATCTAACCAAATTAATGTAGAGATGGTCAAGAAACACTCATCATGAACGACCTGATAAACAATGTATTGGTGAGCAGGACAGGTGAAATACACGATATATGATAAATATATGCATCAATTTTACAAATGAGCAGCACATTACAATCAACTGGTAGGAGACAACATGTCTTGTACTCGTCAGTTCCGATAAGAATGTTGATAAATTATCTGGAGTACAAAACTATAACTGTACTGAGCCAGCATCATCTTTTGATTACAGAACCTTCGTGGGGCAGTGGTGTAGCTCAACAGTAAAGTGGCATCAGAAATGGCTTCAACACATTTTCCTAATGGGTGAATCAAACTTAGTCCACTTGTCACACTGAAGGACAAAGTTTTGATTAGCCCATAAGGAAAATGTGTTGAAGCCATTTCTGATGACACCAACATGTCAAAACGACACCCACTTGATCATGTTAACACATCATACAGTCAACTGAATCTTATCTATGAATATACATCAGAAATGAATATACATCGCCCCAGACACAAGACAAGATGTGAAGAGCGACATGTGTCTTGCCCTTACGCCGTGAAGCGCTTCTAATAATAATTAATGAAAGTTGATATGAGCAAGAGACTAAACACTGGTGATTTCTGTGATGACCCATCATGTAGATCCATGATAAGGGTCACCGGTGCCAGGTCGATTCACTTGATGTTGAGCTGGTCGGTTTTTATCATATGTTTTATCATAACCTGAAAACGGAACCAAGAATGTCAGTGACTCTGGGTCATGTATTGTGAAAACAAACAGGAACTAGCAATACCAGGCAGAAACATCAAGGACCACCTGACGAGCAGCTGCTAGAAATTAAACCTGAAATATGTACATATATACTGGATATCTCTGTGAAGGGGGAACCGTCTCATGTACCGGGTAGAACATCTCATTGTTTTCTAGCTGTATCACTTAGGTTCATGTTGCGATGTCAATCGCTGAATCGGCATCCGATAGCCACTGCTGTTGTTTGACAGAAAACTTTGCATTTCTTCCAAAAACTGTTCCAAGAAGTTTTTTGGTCTATGAACTTCTATTGTATACAAATTCCTCATTCATACATAATGCAAATTTATTTTAAACTAGCCTCGCCTCAAACACAAAAGCGCAGCCAGCTGACACAATGAAAACAAAGAGTCTCTACCAATGTCGTGCCTGGGGTAAACATGGGTAGGATGGTCTTGAATTTTCTGTTACAATTTTGTATATCAGTGAATTTTACATGCATATTTGATTTAGACAGTGATATATGTTACTTGGCTGTCTGTGTGACCTACCAGCCCCAAAAGATTTAACTAACATATTTGGACAGCTCATAAAAAGTCTGAAATTCTACTGGCCCTCAGAATACTGCTAACATTAGTCAAGCTGACTCAGGATAGCAGGTTAGTGTCAACCTGTGTCCATATATACAACCTAACTTGATCAATTCCGATGGTATGTTCGGTGCTTAAACTGCCACTCGGGATATGGGATATACCTCGCCATCATGTACAGAGAGGTGAAGCCATATGGGCCATATCACCTCTCAATGTGTTGAATGTTGAAACAATCTCTCACCATATGGGTAGAGGGATGAAAGTGTCACCCACCATGTGGGAAACATCTCACAGCCATGTGAGTATGAGTGAGTTAAGTTTTCCGCCGCTCTTAGCAATATTTCAGCATTATCATGGAGGTGGCACAGCAGAAATAGGCTTCTCACATTGAGCCCATGTGGGGAATCGAACCCGGGTCTTCGGCATGACGAGCAAATGCCTCAACCACTAGGCCACGCAGCCATGTGAAGTGGTGAAACTAATACTCACCATATGGAAAATATCTCACAACCATGTGTATGTTGGTGTTCATCTTGAGAATCTTCACAGCCTGTGTGGAAAGAAAAATATATCAGATACAAAGACATGTGTCAACCAAGACAGCGAGCCTGACCACCCGACCCGTTAGTCACCGTTTTCGACAAGCATTGATTGCTGAAGATTAATTCTAATCCGGATCTTCATGGGTAATAAAATACAACTTATGTAAAGAATGAATGAACTGCACTTTCCTGCAAACTCAGTAATAGTTTTTATGTGCCCTTTCTCATTACTCTGTATATGACACTAAACCTAAAGTGAGGTGACCTAAAGTGCCAATCAACATTTGTAGTGAACCTGATACACTATTTAACTCTGGAAGAGAACCTAAAGTGCCACTTAACAATGGAAGTGAACCTAAAGTACCATTTAACACTGGAAGTAAACCTAATGTACCATTTAACACTGAAAGTGAACCTAAAGTACCATTTAACACTGGAAGTGAACCTAAAGTACCATTTAACACTGGAAGTGAACCTAAAGTACCATTTAACACTGGAAGTGAACCTAAAGTACCATTTAACACTGAAAGTGAACCTAAAGTACCATTTAACACTGAAAGTGAACCTAAAGTTCCATTTAACACTGGAAGTGAACCTAAAGTACCATTTAACACTGAAAGTGAACCTAAAGTGCAAGTTAACACTGGAAGTGAACCTTAAGTGCCATTTAACACTGGAAGTGAACCTAAAGTGCCATTTAACAATGGAAGTGAACCTTAAGTGCCATTTAACACTGGAAGTGAACCTAAAGTGCCATTTAACACTGGAAGTGAACCTAAAGTACCATTTAACACTGAAAGTGAACCTAAAGTGCAAGTTAACACTGAAAGTGAACCTAAAGTACCATTTAACACTGAAAGTGAACCTAAAGTACCATTTAACACTGGAAGTGAACCTAAAGTGCCATTTAACACTGAAAGTGAACCTAAAGTACCATTTAACACTGAAAGTGAACCTAAAGTACCATTTAACACTGGAAGTGAACCTAAAGTACCATTTAACACTGAAAGTGAACCTAAAGTACCATTTAACACTGGAAGTGAACCTAAAGTGCCATTTAACACTGGAAGTGAACCTAAAGTGCCATTTAACACTGGAAGTGAACCTAAAGTGCCATTTAACAATGGAAGTGAACCTTAAGTGCCATTTAACACTGGAGGTGAACCTAAAGTGTCAAATAACACTGGAAGTGAACCTAAAGTGCCAATTAACCCCAGAGGTAAACCTAATGCACCATTTAACACTGGAAGTGAACCTTAAGTGCAAGTTAACACTGGAAGTGAACCTAAAGTGCCATTTAACACTGGAAGTGAACCTAAAGTGCCATTTAACACTGGAAGTGAACCTTAAGTGCCATTTAACACTGGAAGTGAACCTAATGCACTGTATAACAATGGAAGAGAACCTTAAGTGCCATTTAACACTGGAAGTGAACCTAATGCTCCATTTAACACTGGAAGTGAACTTAAAGTGTCAAATAACACTTGAAGTGAACCTAAAGTGCCAATTAACCCCAGAGGTAAACCTAATGCACCATTTAACACTGGAAGTGAACCTAAAGTACCATTTAACACTGGAAGTGAACATAAATTGCCATTTAACACTGGAAGTGAACCTAAAGTACCATTTAACACTGGAAGTGAACAGGATGCACCAATTAACAATGGAAGTGAACCTAATGCACCATTTAACACTGGATGTGAGCATAAAATGCAAATTAGCACTCGAAGTGAACATGAAGTGCCAATTAACACTGAAATAAATCTAAAGCACTATTTAAAACAGGGAGTGAACCAATCACAATATCAAAAACTGGAATTGAATGAAAGGCAACATCTAGGACTAACTGATATAAACCATTAGTCTTTGTCCAGTAGGTTTTCCAGACTAACTTACAAAATATCACAGAGACTCAACCACATTATCACGACTCCAGTCATGTTCCCATCATTGCCTTCACACGGCCGTAGTAGTCAGCTGTTTTATTTTATTCAGTCCTGGCAACATAGGAACTATAAACCAAACCTGTCACAGGTTGTCATTACTGACATCTAGATAGTTTTGCTTACAACTTACCTCACTGTGGTCAATACTTTCAAAGTCAATATCATTCACCAACAAAATCTGAAAGGAATCAGAAAGATGTATTTGATCATGTGATCTGTTATTAAGGAACTTGGTCATTCAACATGTTAATATGAACTGTTTACACAGCCGGAGAATATTTATCATTCTCTTTGCGTAAAACTCTCACCTGGTCTGCTTCGTTGAGTCCAAGACGGTCGGCTTCACTGTTTGGCATCACCTGCAGACAAAACAACACCTGCAGACAAAACAACACCTGAAGCAGGTTCCCTGGCAACTAGGTCACTGAAAACCCATAACAAAGTATCAGCCTATCTTTGGGTGGGTTTTTCTGTATTGATTTGATAATGAAATGGATGACAGAGATAGACACTTGCCTTTAGTCCATGAGTAGAGACAACTGAAAATCTAGACGGACTAATTGTTTGCTCCCCAAATCTAGATATGTTACACAACCATGAGTCTGAAATGAACTGCAGAGAACATGGATGTGCCCAATGGTGTCTACTGTTGGATGACAGATTTGTTTTTGTTTGTTGTGTAACGAAATTCTTAGCAAATTTTCCATATATATGATGGCAGACTGCAAATAATCAAGTCTGGATTGGACAATCCAGTGATTGATATCATGATGATTAATTTATCCAATTGGTATATGATGACATTCATCAACCAAGACAGCAAGCGTGAACACCTGATCTTGTTAGTCTCCTCTTACGACAAGCATAGGTTGATGAAGACCAACTGTAACCCAGGTGCCACGATTAACTAAATGAGCTCTACTAGAATGGGAGATACATTACTTGTGTCATCCAGCATGTTCAAAGCTCAAATTTCTGAAATTCTAGATGGGAACACATGTACACAAAAACTCAAGTTATACACCAGATTGATGGTTCAAAACCTGAGAGGTGACATGTCCCTTCTCAGAAAATAAACATTTCTGTATAAGGGAGGTAACTCTCAAACAAGCAAAAGCATTTACCTGGGAAAATGTCACAACTAAAAATAATGACACATTGTAGAAAAATGTTGTTTTCTTTGATTCCAAGAAATGGTTATGAAATTACAAAAATATGGATGTTTTTTTAGTTTCGAACTCTGTTGTTTCTCAAATGCTTGACTTACTCCTTGAAAATTCTGTTCCATTTTGTTACCTTGACCAATATAAATCATTTCGTGCAGGTTTAGTTTGTTGTTTCATACAACGCTCAGCGATATTCCTATAAGATGGCTGCCTGGAAACATTTAGTCTGAACCAGACAATCCAGTGAATGATGCCATGAACTTCAAACCAAGCACATTGGCTTGGATGATAAGCATCATATCGCTTGACCACCCTACCTCCATTAGTCACCTCTTACAACATGTTTTCATCAATTCTAATCCAGATCTGCTCGGCAGAGGCATGTAATGTAACTGAGTGAGAAACATGGGGATCATCCCATACATGTTACCAACTGCCGGGATCACAACAGGATCTCACCCACCTTAGACACATAGACTCCACAGTAATGTTCCCGGCCACCTCGGATGTTGAAGCCAAGCTGAAACAATGGACAAGAGCAATCTGGACACTCATGGACAAGAAACATTTAGGATACTGTACACTACAGGACAAGGGCCATCTAGAATACTGTACACTACAGGACAAGGGCCATCTAAATTACTGTACACTACAGGACAAGGGCCATCTAGAATACTGTACACTACAGGACAAGGGCCATCTAACTACATCCCATCTCTCCGTTGTTTGTTGGTTTGACACGGAGTTCTTTTACAGATTCCCAGTTAACTTTTAGTTTCAGCATGGAAATCAACATGTAACACAACTTAGTAACTTAGTAATATTCCCACAATACCATAGTGGCTGACACCTGAAATAGTCTTCACATGCTGGGCCTTTCGCATGGTGAGTAAATACAATAACTCTGTCTATTTTCAACTGACGGATATAACAAACTGTTGTTTTTGTCCCGACCATTTGCTGTATATTTTAAATGTAAACATGTAGATTGAACTATGGATATAACAAAAAGACAATTCGTGGTCTCTTTAAGTTTGTTATGACCATAGTCTACAGTACATTATTACTACCTAGCTACCCAACGTCCACTCCTTATAAGGAAACTGTAGGAATATGTAATGAAGAGTACTGACTGCCTCCGAGGCTCGTTCTCGGATCAGCTGAATCTTCCTTGGCAGGAACTGTCTGTGGTCAGTGCTGTAGTCTGGGTGGTCCATCCTCTGTCAACAGATTTCAGTAACAACATCTCATACACTGGTAATTGATGTTAGGGAATATGCTCAAACTTATGAACAAATGAGTAAGTGAGTGGGTATGGTTTTACACCGCTTTAAGAAGTATTCCAGCAATATCACTATGGGTGGCACCAGATCTGAGTGAACAGCTTAACAAGGCTACCCTACCACCCATATTTTATATAGTGCTATGTCCCTATCACGTACAATATACCTTGATGACTGTTCCTTGCGTTACAAGCCTGTGTTTTGCATAAGTAAAGTTAAAATACAAATGAATATGTGATAACTTTCCATGACTGTTAAGACCACCGTTCGAACAAACAGATTTTCAGCGCGCAAATATTGCCGTATCTTCCTACTGATAAAACTGCGCTAATAAGAAAATGCATTCTGCATTCAATGAGAGTGTATTTATTTTGCTGATCGAAAATTGGACAGTATATTTTCGCCGCTTCCCGCACCTCTGCATATGGTATCCAAGGTGGTGGATATTCGTACTCTGGTAACCTTGGCATATGTTCTATATGCTCTGGGTAACCCTGATTTCCAGACATAATAGTGTCAACCGGAACAGTTTGACAACTCGCAGAACTTTAATAATCAACTGGATCGCCTCGAACAAAGACTGGGTCCCTGCATCAGTAGATGATCCGATGTTAATGCGCAAACCGTAGCAAGCACACACACGGAGAACTAGTTTGCAGTGCCTGACCCGTACGAAATAGTATTTACTTGAAAACTATTTCAAATAACTTTTCACCTATTTCAAATAACTTTTCACTTGTATAAATCATTTGACATACTATCTAATTTAATGGTTGAATACATTTTATATTAGGTTTTACGGGATGGAAACTACGCAGGACAAAATGCAGCACCAGTTATTATACAATAGTAATGAAAATATTTGTTCACGGACCTTTTCTTCATCAAGACTTATCCCTACCTACATTTGTAGAACTCATATTAAATGTGTGTTATGTAACAAAATGGGATATGTTGCAGTATTCAAAACCATATGCGGTGTGTAGTTTCCTTCATTTGCGTCTTTGACGAAAGATGGCAAATATATTGACACCCTAAGGGACCGTTCATAATTTATGGGGGCATGATGGTGATTGCAAGGGGTGTCACCCATTTTGTTCAGGGAGCTAGGGGGTCATCAATTTTGTACACACGTTCTTGGGGGTTCCAGCAATTTTGTAGATAAAAATATGTTTAAAATTATGCTAAGAAATTATGGAAAGGGGGTCATTGATTTTGTACATGACATGCAGGGGTCACTTATTTTGTACATAAATTTTAGGGGGGGGGGGGTCATTCACATTGTACATGCTTCTCCATAAAAATCATCATCACACCTCCACCCCCAAGTCATAAATTATGAATGGTCCCTAAATATATGTATACATTGTGATCACCCGAAAATCCCGTATTGTATGTTGAGTGGTGTATGGCAAGTAGTATTCTTATTTCCCACAATGCTTCTCGGTCGCTTCTAAACTTCCTCTTTACAAATTTGGCCACCATGGCGGTCGGAAAAAATAAACGACTGACTAAAGGAGGCAAAAAGGGTGCCAAGAAGAAGGCGTACGTTTACAATTACATATTTGTTAAATGACACGGTCATTCTGTAATAAAATAAATGATAAGTAAACCGCGATGTCTGCATTATGTACCCGCTTTTAATGGATAAGTAGCAGTACCCCTCTTATCGCACATGAGTTCCTTGCACCAGTTAAGGGAAATACCACACGGTTTATGTCCCGGTTCGTTGTATGTTTTTCAAAGATCATCATTATTATGCCCTTCTGAGGACAATGGTGTTGGTGGCCCCGTGTTGGATTTGTCCATCTTCGCACAAACATTATCATATCCTACAAATGTTACACACTTGAGACCAATCCGTGAAGTTGCTAATGTGGTAGCACTTGACAAATCTAGTTGATCTGGGATTTCGGGTGGGCGTTTAGGTATCTTTTCATGTTTTGTACCTATTGATCATGAATGGGGAGTACTGCACTTTACCGGGCGCACTGTTTCAGATTAATTAGCGTTGCTGGGGTTCCCTAACCCCTAACCCTTTGGTGCCTAACCCTAAGGATCGTAAAGGGTGGCATACCCTAACCCTAAGGATCGTAAAGGGTGGCATACCCTAACCCTAAGGATCGTAAAGGGTGCCATACCCTAACCCTAAGGATCGTAAAGGGAGCAGCTAGGGCTGCGCCCGGTAAAGTGCATTCTAGCACTACACTAAATTCAAAAGTGCTGAAGACAAGGCATTTTGGTGCCCTGAGCCATTTCTTTCATTTGACAAACCGTTTGGGTGAAAAGTATGCAAATCTGTATTGGGTTACGTGTCTTGCTGTTTGTTTCAGTTCAAGATATATATATCAGCAGACTATGTTAGGTAGTACATCAGTGTATTTAACCAACAAAGATGTACACTTCCCTTTGCTATGACTTGAAAAAATGATCTGTCAATTTAATGACTTTGCCCTACCTGTTTAGACATTTACATTTGATATTTTTACACTTTTCCATTAACCTCCAACACTCTTCTATGTCATTAAATTTTTGGGGTGTTTTTTAAACCGTTAAAAGACTTCTAAAGGTTGATGATGAACCAATTTCAACTCTGTTTGTTGCTATGTATATGTAAATGCCATTTCTTTTCTTTCCAGAGTTGATCCCTTCGCAAAGAAGGACTGGTATGATGTGAAGGCCCCTTCTATGTTTGCTGTACGCCAGATTGGCAAAACCTTGGTAACAAGAACACAAGGAACAAGTATGAGCATTTTCACTCTCTAAACATTCTGTCCATGTTTGTAGCATAACTGAAGTGGTACATAGCATATTTGGTGATCTGTTTTCTTTATCAGTGCATTAGTCAGTCGTAAAATTATATTTTTGTGTGAAGAGTAGTAGTTATTCTTGGCCAGTGATGACATTCGTGCACCACGCTGAATTAATTCTTGAGGATTTGCCTAACCCACTGAATCTTTGTCTGAGGCCCTCTGATGACATGATCACTGACTATTGTACCACTGAATGTTTGCTTGCATATTTCTTGTAAGGGATTTGGTGTGAGAAATGACAAAGCCACTGATCTTTGGAAGCCTTCACTGGACGATTCACTACAGATCAAAACTGTTATTGTGCACACAAGAATCTGGATTGCCAGTCAAAACGTTTTGAAATACTATGAAATCTTGTGATAAACATGTGAAACATGCTAAAGATAGATATGTTCACCTGTATGGCAAAAACTCATCAAAATCAATCATGTTTTTAATGCATACTGTAAATCTGAATTTAAATGACTTCTATCGACAACATATATTTATCTGAGTCTTACAGCTGTTAAAAGCACTAAGTACAAGAAGATTTTTCTACGCTTAGATCCTGTATTTCTTGTCACAAAATAAAATGACGGATGGCATGTGAGAAAATGTAATATAAAAATGATAGAGAGACTTCCAGAAAGTTATTTTCTTTTCTGTTCATCAGTAAAATGTCAACCAACATGCTATCAACTGTTTTACCATTGCTTAAACGTTTAACATGCCAATGAAGATGGATGTAAATTGTTTGTGTGTTCACCATGCACATGTGCATATTCCCCTTCCTGCAGTCAGCATCTTTATAGCCTGTGATGACATTCGTGCACCACGCTGAACCTTTATTGAGGATTTGCCTAACCCACTGAATCTTTTTCTGAGGCTATTTTATGTTGCTGATATCTTTTTATCATGATTTTTGCCGTACCCTTTTCTTTGATGAATCATGGTTAGATTACAAGAATGATCTGACACTGCATATAAAAGTGGATGTATGTCATGATTTGTATTACCCTGGAACATTTGGAACATTGGAAACTTGTATCACAAACAAATTTATGATTAAGGTATCCATCAGATAAGTACTAATTATGAAAACATGGAGATCAAATGGATTGCCATGTATATAATAAAACTTATCCCATCAATTTACTCTCTTCCATCATGCTAATAATATTAATTTTGTTTTAGAAATTGCCTCTGATGGACTTAAGGGTCGTGTGTTTGAGGTGTCCTTAGCTGACCTTCAGAATGATGAGGTTACCTTCAGAAAATTCAAGCTGATTGCCGAAGATGTTCAGGGCCGCAATGTCCTGACTAACTTCCACGGCATGGATCTTACACGCGACAAGCTCTGCTCCATGGTGAAGAAATGGCAGGTGAGTAGTTTTGGCATTGATTACAAGATTTGTATGGTCAAAACATTGATACTCAGGAATAGCTCTGGCCCATGGCTCTAGTTGCTTGAACTGTTGACAAGTCAGCTCCTCTGAAATATTGTGCTTTTCGAAGTTGCTAAGAGTGAGAGATTACAATCTTTCTGATTATGGTTAACATACTGCCAACTGTTTCAGACTTTGATCGAGGCTCATCTGGATGTGAAGACAACTGATGGCTACTTGTTGAGGATTTTCTGCATTGGTTTCACCAAGAAGAGGGCCAACCAGGTGAAGAAGACCTGCTATGCCCAGCACACACAGGTGAGTTGATGTGGGGAAACATCGTCCTGCATTCCTACTCTTACTAATTATCCTATTTTTATCAAATTTCTTTCTATCTAGTAAGCTAAGTCCTTCTGTTTACTGTTTAGGTGAATATTGTCTTGGATTAATGCAGTTGAAAATTCTTCTGAAGCATAAGAAAAGTGTGTTCCTTTTGAAGTTAGTTTTCTTGTCTTGGTAACTTAGGCTTTCAGTAAGTGGAATTACTTTTTTAACATTGATGAAGTCTTTACATGGTTTTGAGGACAAAGTCTGCTTCTATTATTAGTTATGTGAATTGTTTTCAGATCAAAGCAATCCGCAAAAAGATGCTTGAGATCGTCGGCCGAGAAATCACTTCCAATGACATGAAAGAAGTTGTAAACAAGCTGTAAGTTGGAATGCTGCTTTTGAGATGAAATGTTAAATTAGTGACCCCTCTTACACAGGTGTTTTTTGTGGACAGAAAATATACCAGTATCCCATGCTTTTGACATGAAGCAGCTAATGAATATAAGGGGCTTAGTCTGGGTTAAAGTGGTCATTCATCATGCCAGAGAGACGTCATCATATGAGCGAAATATTCTCAAGCACGACGTAAAACCCAATTTCACCTCACCCACCTCGTGCCAAAGAAACATGTTTGATTCCCCAGATGGATACAATGTTTTAAGCCTATTTCTCATGTCCCTTGCCGTGATATTGCTGGAATATTACTAAAAGTGATGTAAAACCATACTCTCACTTAACACAATGTGCGACCAGGTTGGTTGTGTGTGACTTAGTGCAGTGCTTATGCAGTCACTCAATTATTTATAGGTCTTTTTAACATGACTGGAATACCACTACAGTAACACATTTTCACATCCCCCTGCACTTGGCCAGTGATGACATTCGTGCACCACGCTGAATCAGTTCTTGAGGATTTGCCTAACCCACTGAATCTTTGTCTGAGGCCTGAATTAGGAGTCAGGGCAAGCATGTGTGGATGTGCCTGTATCAGCACTCAACGGGGTGGGGGGGGGAGAATATGTGCATCCTTGAACAGCTTTGATTGGTCAGTTGGTTCACAGACATAGGTAATGCTGCAGTAGTTCTCCTTTTTAATGATGT